AATTTTTATATTAACCCCAACGATGTGATACTTTCATTTTGTGTACTCGAGTGCACTGTTCGTTATACATTGCATGAAAAGTTTATTTAAAATCTAGTAAATCACACTCGTCGCGTGGTGGTTTTCCGTTTTATTTTGCCCCCAACGCGGTTTCCATGTATAATTTTGAGCGAAGGGAAGATGAAACGTGAGCGGTTCTATTAACATCAGTTTCTCCATGTGTTATTTCTGTCGAAACTGTTGCAAAGTTCGACATAATATCCTGTGTGTTATAAGTTTTGTATCGTAGCCTGAAAACGCATAAGGTCCCAATGGCCGGACACGTCCCAATATCCGATCATTTTGAAAAAGAATATTTATTATTTATTTTAACAATAATGAACGGAAGTAATAATTATTGTAAAAAAGAACTCCCGTATTTGACGATTAGTTGGAAAAAATATATCCAATTTGATACTTTTGTATTAAAATAAAAATTAATTAAATAAGTATGCATCTATGGTTTGACAAAATAACGGTCAATCGTTAATAAATTTATCAAGAGATAGCATCTGTATTTATGTTATTCCCCGTTAGCTCGTATTAATTTTCTGGGACAAATTATATCCGAACATTGAAGCGTAACCTATTTCAACTGTCCGCGAGCACACTGGTACATTAATGCGCTTCACTACTTGTATAAATATTTCATTAATAATAGATATATACATTGGTTTGAATCACTCTTCTCTACTTAAAGGAATCTTAAGTTTCCGAATAAACGCAAATATTTGTATCAAAACTATTCTTAATATTATATTCTGTATTTTTTGTGACGACCTACGCGCTTAAACGTCCGGTTACTGGGACATTTATCTAACCAGTGTTGAAAGAACTTTCCGAATACACTTCCGACTACAGTGTTTCATCAGACTATTTTTCAACCAAATCTTGATAGTAATCCCACCATCTCTGTACAAGCAACAGGACGAGTCGATAAGAGCACTCGATTGAGGAACCGATGATCTCTGAGTGCTCAAATCTGATAAGTGATTGAAAACGTGACTGATAAAAAAAAGCCAACAAGCGACGAGCCCTAAAACCGAATTTGCTGGTCGAGAAACAAAATCTGCTGGAATTATCGTGTTATTCATGCGTTGAAAATTCCAGCGCAGTGAAGGAATCAGTAAAATCAGCGTCGATCGTTTGATCTGAGAGAATCGAACGAACTCTTCGGCTAATCCCTCGCCGGGACTACACGCTGATGACGTTTCACGACCAGCTATTTGACTTCTGAAGTAATAATCTCCCTTCACCTGGCGCTGCGAAGTTGTTCTTCCCACGTCTACGGCCAAATACGTTGGTAACCGGTGCGAGCAAATTTCCTCGTCGTGTCGGCGGCGACTTTTAGTCGCCACGCAGAGACACGTTGTTCGGCGAGCGAATGCCATCGTAATTACAATTACAATTACAATTACAATTACAATCGTAGCGACAGTCGATTGCAATCTTCCTAACGCAATAATTATACATCTGCTACGCCTCGAGCTCAATCGCGAGCGGAGGAATTTGACCTCATTGGTGCGCGAAAAAACAAGCGATATCGCGGCGGATTAAAGCTGCACGACAATAAGACGATAAGATTTACGTTGTAAATACGATATGAAGAATCACGATAGCCACATGCGAGCGAACGAGCGATCTGGCGCGCCCCGACATTCCGACGTGCGAAGCTTCCGAGTATCCTTCCTGCGCGTTTTCCCTGAACCTCTGACGTATCAGAGAGCACTATTGCGCAACATTCGCGTAATGTGCGTGTCGCACATGCTGCAATCGCCACCGCCGCGACTCCTCACGCGGCCGTCACACTCCTCGTGGCCGCTTTTCCACCTGCAGCCTCTTCTTCCCTCCCTTTCTCCCGTTCCTTCCTTCCTTTTCTTTTTTCCTAATTCGGCGCGCGCCGCGCGTGCGTTTTCATCCCTCCGTCCGCCGAGGGAAATGCGCGATCTATTCGCGTACGGTGCCAGAAGTCACGGCGGTCTCTGCAAACTGTCACGGTTATCTAACGTCAGCCGCGGCCGTAGGTGGGGCGCGGTAACGTATCGCAGTAATGCGACCAACGTTGCACCGGTTGCAACGCGACGTCTCGTACGTTGAAGTCTCTGGTCTCCGCCGCGAACGAGGAGAGCGCAGAGTTCGAGAGTCGCCTCTCTCGTGAGGTGCACGCGAGGTGTTCGCAGCTCGGCGCGAAGGTACGTTCCCGCGGACGATTACGTCAACCCGTCGAATTTCGCCGACTCATTCACTCTTCGCGAGCACGCGCTAATATCGTGCCGATTGATGAGAGTGTCCGAGGGACTAGGAGCGCGGCTCCGGCTCCTCCTGAGAGAGAGAGAGAGAGAGAGAGAGAGAGAGAAAGAGAGAGCGAGCTTCTCGCGAGATTCTTCGACGACCTGATGCGACTCGAGATCAATCAAGTGCTCTAGCTTTTACTCGGCGGCGAATTCTCGTCTGGCGCCGCCGATGAGACAAGCTCCACTTTGAGTTTCGCGCGGCGCGCCTCGTCATCTCCGATCGGTTTCTCCTGAAAATCCGTTGCTATTCTTCCTTTCGACTTCCGAATAACTTCTGAGTAACGCGATAATTGAAATTGGAAGCTAGGCCAAAGGCAGCCGCAATTCCCAGCATGCAAGGAATTTTTATAGTCACTGATTTTGAATTTGATAACAAAAACTTGCAATTCAAAATGGCGGATTCAAAATGGCGGACCGAAATTTTTGCTTCTGGTGACTAACAATATTTCATTATATATACTTTTATCTCCATATTAGCTGGTGAAATATCACGACCCCAGAGTGCGCCACGTGGAGGCTACGGTAGGATTTTACATTCCATTTTCCTATTTCTTGTTTTCTTTACTTTTTATTCGTTTTTTATTTTTTGTTTTTATATACTTTTAATTTTTTTGTTTTGTTTATATTTTTGTTAATTTTTTTATATACTTTTAATTTTTTAATTTCGACTCTGTATTTGTCATCTGTGATCCAAAAAACATACATAAACCGAGTTTGATACATATCCATAATATCATATAAAAGTTAGCCATTTGAAGTCATCATATTGAATCCGCTATTTTGAATTTTTAAATTTCAATTCCAGATTCGTAATCAACGACTCAAAAAACCTTTTATAGATAAGCTTACATATAAAATACGACATTATTCGCTCTCACCAGTTTTGGCACAAAACCTTGATTTCGGCTCACCAGTAACCTGATTAAAATGATCTTTGCTTGTAAAAATTATATTTTACAAAGTTGCGCCTAATTGCAAATTTCCTAAACGGTTTTGACAAGATTAAGGTCCCACCTAAAATATGAGCCAAAATTTAGTTTATTATCGGTTGTTATCCGGAAGTTCTAGTCCTTCAAATATTAGAAACTGGTTAATTCTTTATTTTCTCCTACTTCATATAGAAGATTTTCTCATCCATAATATTCAAAGTTTAATTTATTATTATTATTTTGAAGCACTAATTTGTGCTTCAAAAAAGTATTTAAAACAGCGGTGCGTAAGGTTTTAATAGTTAAAGAGATAAAAAATTTCAAAGAAATGAGTCGTTTCGCAACTTTGGTGTACAGTTGCGCGCACCTCTGAATACAAAACGTAAGAAAAAACATGCTTATCTTGGAACAAATTGATTCAAATTTTTTCTTATGTTTTATGACTATTTATCGAAACTTTTAATATGTTTAAATGTTCTGGACATTCACTTTGAATTTTAGCAATTTTGGCCAGAATAAAAGGGTGATGCAAACGTTCCATAGTGCAGCGGTGAATAACGTAGAGCGTGGTTCAAGCTCATTGTGCGCGCGCGCGAAGGCGTCGGGGAAAAAAGAAGATCGCGGTCAGGAAATTCGATAGAGGAAGCCTTGGCGGTGAATAAAGCGATTCCGGAAGTAATATCGCTTCTTCGCGAGCCATCAGGCTTCCGTTCGTGGACTTGATTGCGCCAGCACGAACGTGACACCCTGACATAACATTCGATCTCCTGAGACTTTGATATAGATCCTTGATACCACGCTATGTCCGGTATGGAGGAACGTGTCCATAACGCTATGCAAATACGCGGTGCATACGCGAAAAAAAGAATTTGGTTTGCGTAATCGGTTTCCTGTAGCCCTGGGAACCGGACGGAATAAATCGGAAACTCATAGAAAAAGCGAGATATAATGAGGAATCCAAAAGAAAGAGAAATCTAGGAATATCGAGAATTTCTACGCAGTTGATTGCTCTCAGTTATCTCTCAGAAAGATAGTTTAAACATAACCGAATGCGCAAACAAATGTTCCCGGTCATGATAACAGAGATATCGTTTCTTGCCGCTAAGTTTCCATTCCGCTACAATTACCGTTACGAACTGAGATTTTCTTACGTAAAACAGCATTCACATATACTTCACCAATCCCTCGCGCAAATGATTTATTGTATCAGCCTGAAGAGGCCTCGAAAACTCTCGTAAAGCAATGTACACCTTGCGCAACAGATGGGACACCAGATGTTGCTCAGAAGAAGCCGAGAAAATCTCGAGTTTCAGTGTCCCGGGAGCGACGCATTCCTCGAGAACTTGTAGGTTCCGAAGACAAAGCTAGAAGAAGCAATGCTTCTTTGTCAAGATTCAGTGTGGCTACCAAGTTACCTAATATGGAAGACAAAGCGCGTATTTTGTTTTATTATAATTATTCATAGCAATTCGCCCGTCCCGAGATGCAATCTCCTTGTCCTCCTTGCAATCTCCTCGCAAGATGCAAAGTATCGCATTTTGCTGTGAGGAAAATCAATAAAAATAATGACGATGAGTAAACGGCGGATAAGAGCGGGTTTTGAAAGAATGACGATGTCTTCGAGCATACGTCAGTAAATTATCGACGGGCATTATCGCGGACACGTAATCCGCACGTAGGCGGACTCCCCTGGAGACGTCCTTGTCATCATCCGATAACAAGGTCCGATTGCTTTCAGGATAAGCCACAACATGGAGATCCCGGCAGCTTGGCTGCTGACCATCTTCCTGGTGGCTACCGGGACTGATGGGACGACCATGACTACGTCGCCCTCGTACAATGAAACGACGACCGTAGAATTCTCTCTTACTTCTCTCCGCCAAGATGCAACAAACGCAACGACGACCAGCGGACCTGTGCAGACGGAGAACAAATTCATGAATTACGCTAGACCCTTCACGAACGTGAAGGACATACTGATGCAGGAGATTCGCACCTTGGGCGAAGATACTTCAGATTCTTCGGATGCTTCGGATGCCAAGGTATAGGGCCAGAGCACAGACTTCTGCATAACACATGACACACAACGCATAAGAGAATCAACCAATCAGAGTTCTTCATTTCTGTCCTGAGGAAGGAAATGAAGAAAACTAATTGGTTTATATAATTGGGGCCCATATTCTTGGTAGCATGACAAGTATCGATCGCTTCCTATGATCTCTGTAACTCTGTGATCTCCGTAGCGGTATCGACTTCTCACTTCTCCCCGCGATCAGAAGAGAACGACGGCCTCTGCAAATTCGCGATACCGTGTACAGCAGCAATGTCGGTAATAATTTTCCGCATCATCAAAGTCGCCTAGCGTAACAGTTAGCCAAGCGTTAACTCGTCTATGGGTCGAAGATTATAAATCGCGTTCCGCATTGAGTCAGACGTGACACGAAAAAGGCGCCGGTCTCGCGACCCTGAAACAAGCCGTAACTAATTTTCGCCATGCCGTTTTAAGGACTACGCTTAATCGCGACGCGAAAAATTGCGCGTGTGCAGATCCAGGAAGAAGTTGCGGAGACATTCAAGGCCGAGGCGCAGAGAGACCGCGCGAACTTGCTGATGAAAACAACCGCGAAGCCGAGCAGGCCGAGCAAGCCGACGATGAAGAAGGCGAACGTCGTGTTGGAATCCGAGAAGCTGCAGAAATTCGACGACATGCCGTACGAGGACGAGCTCAGCGATGAGTACGCCGATCTAGACGATGAGGACGACGACATCGGCGATATAGACAAGGACCTGGAAGACGAGCTCAACGACGAGGAGTCGGTCATGATGGAGTGCCCTGATCATTGCAAATGCGCCGGGCAATACGCCGCTGCGATGACTGCATCGTATGTTTTAGCTTCTAAGCGGATCATTATATAACCGCACAATGTCCCTTGACACACACGCGGCGTGTGTGACACAAATGAAGAGCCTGCTGATAGGTCGTTTCCGGCACTGAGAGCGCGCAATAATACGACATATTTTCTTCTTCTACTACGTTCGCGCGAGAAAGAATTTTCTACGTGCACGTTTTCCCCGCATCATCCCGGAACAGACATCCCGTTTCGCGTCCTCTCATCCGCCACGTGTATCTTCGATCTCTTGGACGTCATCGTTCGCGTGCGATACAAAGAAACGTGCGTGAGTAGATGAAAAAGATAACTACATGATTGTAGCCACCTGAATAGAATCGCGGATAATTGTCTCATCATGTCGCGACGATTTTCTGTGCACTTTGTAGACTATTATAAGATCTACATTTCGATTATAAATAGCGATCGCATAATGGACGCGCTTGTCGTTTATATATCTCTTCGCGATATTATCGAATTATTAAATACGGACTCGAGAAATTTCCAGATATGAAACGTCATTGTGGAATTATTTCCACTTACACTCACTAACTCAAACTAATCGATTCACAACTTACTCGTTTAATCTATCAACGCAAAATTAACGAACGAGATCAATCGTGAGCATTGTTCTCGTAGAAATTAATTAATTAACACGTTGACTGCTACGCGAACTTCCATCGATTGTATTCCAATGTTTATGCTTCAGGTTTGAGCCACCAAATAAGTGCGCAATTCGCGACACGTGTGTTCGTTCTGTGTATACAGGGTGTTTCAAACCACGCGGGTTATCCGATTTTTTCGTAAACGCGACATTTTAGAGAAAAATGTTTCAGACAAAAGTTGTAGGGCTTCAAAGAATCTATTTACTGATGCTATAAATTTGACCTTGGGATGACCTTGAAAAGCCCAGTCAAAATCAACATAAAAATCTTAAATGGAAACTCCAATTTTTTATTACACCGTCCACCAATTTTCCACCAATTAATTGGAATAACTTTTGTCCAAATGCTGAAACATTTTCTTCTTTGCCTAATATTTTTTTAGATATTTAAGGATAACTTATTTGGTAACTTTTTCAATATTCAACTTACGATATCTGTTTGTCGTTACGCTAACTGTTTGTCAGGATAAAAAAATGGTACTAGATTTTTCTATTCTATTTGGTCTCAAGAATATATTGGTATACAATAATACTCTATTTTTTGTTATTTTATCGATCTTTCGAAATTTCAAAATCGTCAAATTAACAAAAGTCAGGACGCTATTATATTGAATATATTCTTAAGACCAAGTAGAATAGAAAAGTCTAGTACCATTTTTTATCCCGACAAACAGTTAGCGAGATATCGTAAGTTAAATATTGAAAAAGTTACCAAGTTATCCTCAAATACCTCAAAAAATATTAGGCAAATAGAAAAATGTTTCAGACAAAAGTTGTTGTTCAAATTAATTGGTGGAAACAGACGGTGTAGTAAAAAATTGGAGTTTCCATTTAAGATTTTTATATTGATCTTGACTGGGCTTCTCAAGGTCATCCCAAGTCAATCAAATTTATAGCATCAGTAAATAGATTCTGTGAAGCCCTACAACTTTTGTCTGAAACATTTCTCTCTAAAATGTCGCGTTTACGAAAAAATCGGGTGACCCGGGTGGTGGTCTGAAACACCCTGTATAATTTCTTACACGTAGTTGGCTGCACGTTTCGCATGTAAATCATCAAGCGAGATACCGGTCGCTGGCGACCATTATTGGCAGTCAAGGTGTCAGTGTCAACTCTAATTTTACAACAATCGCGACTGGCAAAAAAGTAACCCCAAAGTCGAACACGCATGTGTTATATACACTTTTATGAGATCCTCCTTGTGCATAGGTGCTCCAAGCTAGTGGAAGGTCAGACCTTCGGGCCGGGCATCGCCCATTTGCGACTCGAGAACGCAGGGGAGATCCGGCTCGGGCCGAACGCACTGCGAGTCCGCGGTCTTCAGCAATTGGAATCGATCACCATCGTCGACACGCGCATAGTCGAGTTAGATCGCACGGCCTTCAACGGCATCTCGTACCTGTTCGCCGTGAACCTGACGCGCAACGGTCTCCACGATATCCATCCCAACACCTTCCAGAATAACTCGCAGCTCAGCCTGCTCACGATCGCCGACAATCCGCTCAAGCACACGCAAGACACCAAGGGCATCAAGCACTATTTGCTGCACGCACCCTCAGTCACCGACTTCGACTTCTCGAATAACGGCCTGCTGCGACTGAAACGCACCGCCTTCTCGAAGATGCAAGCCATCGAGTACATCAGCCTGCGCGGCAACTGGCTGAAGGAAATCGAGCCCGGGACCTTCGACTCGCTCAAGTCGCTCGCGGAGGTTGACCTCTCGGAGAATTTGCTGGATGAAATCCCGTCGGAACTTTTCAACATGATGGTGCAGACTCTTCGTATGTCAGGTAAGAATCGTCGCGGTTTATCGAGAGGGAATTTCAATAAAGAAATTAATGAATTTTGTCTGGAGAAACTAAGCAACGTATCAATTTATAACTTGGCGCATTCGTTTTACAAGTATAAAGGAATACCGAAGAATAATGGCCGAAAAACTTTAAACGCATTTCCCTCAAAACTGTGCCGTCAAAAAAATCAGCGTGCAGGATTTCTCGATAACTCGATCGAGGGAAATATTCCTGTGCGATAAATGTGACAATATCGCAAACCGACACGTTGCGGAGTTTTTCCAAAGAAAAATTCATCATTGTAGTCCATCTTTTGGGGCATCGAAAAACGTAAAAAAAAAGCAAAAATAAAATGATCCGTGATAGGAACGACTAATACAGAAAACAATTGTCTTTGTTCAGAAAATAATCTGTCGACGTTGTCCATCATAAATGCCTCGAAACTGTTGCTACTCGATGCCTCGAAGAATAGAATCAAGACAATCGGCAAAGAGGACCTGAAAGGCGTGCCGCTATTAGAACAACTGCAAATAACGTCGAACAATTTGAAGAGGATTCACCCGCACGCTTTCAATCATCTCGATCAATTGACTTACGTTGATATCAGCGACAATAATATCTCCTCGTTAACGGAGCATCATTTCAGAGCCAATGCAAGGCTGCAAGTTCTGCTGATGAACGATAACCCCTCTCTGCAAATTCTACCGGTCTTCAAGACCTCCGGCTTGACGTACGAGACATTTAGGTAAGCGCCTCGACGCTTGCATTAAGAAAATAAGCATTAAGAAAACGCGCCGATTCTTTTTCTCCTGCATTAATCACCGTTCCTCAACAGCACCTTCCGCTTCGAGTGCGAGAATTGCGGCCTAAAGAACATCTATCCACAAACATTCGACGAAATGCCGGCTCTGAATAAGCTGAATCTCGCGAGGAATCAACTGGAAGGTTTGCCCAATGGTCTCCTAAGCCAACTCTCGTCCCTTCGAGACCTGGACCTTTCCGACAATATGATCTCGACTCTCCAACCCGACATGTTCCACGGTGCTGAAAGCTTGGGCAAGCTCAATCTCGCTGGCAACCCGTTGAGAACGTTGCAAGTAACGCCTTTCCTGAAAACCCCGGTACTCTTTAAGCTGGACGTGAGCCGGTGCAGTCTCGAGCGCGTGTGGAGCGAAGCTAGGGTGCCGCTGAAGAGCCTCAAGTGAGAATCAGCCTGCCAATTTAAAGAGCGTCCCAATAAACAGGGGAGATGACGTCAAAAGTATCAATGACGTTAGAGACGCGTCCTTAATGCGCCATTGATACACCCTTCAACGTCACCCTGCTACTTGGGTTCTATTCCGATAGACATTAGGAACTCTGAGGAATTTGAAATTTCAACTGGTAACGTCGAATTTTTTACGCAAAATGGATAGACGATCATATCTTTACATCGTTATAATTTTGCGAAGCAATATACGGAAGAAATGGCAGGAGTTTACATATTAAAATGCATTGCTTCATAAAATTATAACGACGTAAGAAATAATGTTTTATTGCGTCTGAAGAAGTTCGACCTTACTCGTTGCACAAGTCAATGGAAGCAGAGGAATGTTTTTAAAGAAGAAATGTTTTGAAGGGAAACTTTTCTTGACCAAAGTTCTTTCTCTCTTCTCTCTTCAGATTCCTGTCGGTGCGTGACAACCTTCTGCGACGAATCACCGTGGAGGAGCTCAAGGCCACGCCGAAACTCAGCGGTCTGGATTTGTCGCACAATCCGATGGATTGTGACAATGAATTCAACGAAGCTGTGCAATGGCTCACCGACCGCGGTGTCAAGCCGACGGAGATGATAAAGTAGATATTCTTGTTTCTTCAGCTTGCGTGCGCGTCACATGCGAGATTGCGAGATTTAACATTCCGCGATATTTATATACTATATTTATATAGGTACTACAGTGATTTCCTCGCCGGCCACGACGGCGAGTCGGACGGCATCTCCGAATGGACGGATCTGGCGAAGACGGTTTGCGACGGAATAGAAGACGGTCCGCCGATCAGACAATTCCCTGACAAGAACGAACAATCGGATATTCTGCCGAACATCGATCATGAGGACACCGAGTCTCTGTTGAAACAGGAGCTCGACCAAGCTGAGGTGAGATAACGGCGCACAGATGCGGAAAGAAAGAGATTTCAATTCGAGCGATTAAATAGGGACCGAATGAAAACTCGAGCGGCAACGATATCTCTGTTACCAAAAAAAACTCGTCGGAGCATTCAGCTGTGTAAAACCTCGGCTGAGATATTTTCGGTAAACTGAAAACACTTGAGCAATTGGACACCTTCTTCGGAAGAATCTTTTTATTTCCATAATCGAATTTTCGCTTCGGTCTTTATTCTCCCTAGGTAACGGAAAATTCAGTTACTCCGACGGAGTACTGCTTTCCCCGTGGATATTATTCGCAAAGCTAAATTTTCTTCCCCCATCCCCGAAATTTGAAATATACAGGGTGTTTTAGACCACCGAGTCACCCGATTTTTTCGTTAACGTGATATTTTAGAGAAAAATATTTCAGACAAAAGTTGTAGAGCTTCGAAGGATCTATTTACCGACGCTATGAATTTGACCTTGGGCTAACCTTGAAAAGTTCAGTCAAGATCAACATAAAAATCTTAAATGGATACCCCAATTTTTTATTACATCATGTTTTTCTAGCAATTAATTCGAACAACTTTTATCTGAAACATTTTTTCATTTGCCTAATATTTCTTGAGATATTTAAGGAAAACTTTATAACTTTTCAATATTTAACTCACGATATCTCGCTAACTATTTGTTAGAAAAAAAAGTGGTACTAGATATTTTTGCTCTATTTAGTCTCAAGAATATATTTTTACAATAGCGTCCTGACTTTTGTTAACTTGCTGAATTTTGGAAATTTCAAAATCATCAAATTAACCAAATTCAGAGCGTTATTGGAACAATATATTCTTCAGACTAAATAGAGCAAAAAAGTCTAGTATCACTTTTTCTTCTGACAAATGGTTAGCGAAATATCGTGAATTAAATATTGAAAAAATTATCAAATTTTCCTTAAATATCTCAAAAAATATTAGATAAATAAAAAAATGTTTCAGACAAAAGTTGTTCAAATTAATTGCTAGAAAAAGATGATGTAATAAAAAATTGGAGTATCCATTTAAGATTTTTATGTTGATCTTGACTGGACTTTTCAAGGTTATCCCAAGGTCAAATTCATAGCGTTAGTAAATAGATCCTTCGAAACCCTACAACTTTTGTCTGAAATATTTTTCTCGAAAATGTCGCGTTAACGAAAAAATCGGGTGATCCGGGTGGTCTGAAACATCCGGTATACTTTGAGTTTTTGATACTTCGATGACTAGATCAACGACGTCGTCGCGTACTTGTCGATCATTTTGCAAATCGAAACAGAATTGAAACGATAACGTAGTAACACACCGGACGCGTTTGTCACAGAAGCTCTTGAAGCTAGACGTGGATCACGGCATGCGACAGGCTGAGGATCATCGATTGCTGGAGGACCGGATCTACGGCGAAGAATTCGCGGTTACTACGGAATATCACTCTGGCCTCTTGTGGATATGCCTCACGATTATTCTTCTCATCCTGGCCCTCGGGCTGTTTGTAGTGCACATTGTCCTTTGTTTGGCGAAGAGACGAGGACGAGGCCCTGTCCTCAGGCCGCCCATGATCCTTCGTCAGGGTCTGGTCGACAACAAGAACTGCGGTTTGGTGTACAAACCGCTGCAAGAGGAAATAGCGACGCCGCACATGCCGAAACGCGGCAGTTTCTACTCGAGCAGCACCTTCCATTACGACAAAATCGTGCCAGAGAGTGTATAGAACCTGTTTCTTGATTAATTAACTAATTACAGCAGGTGACCAACGATTGGTTGTGACACGGGTCGCTGAAGCCACTTCTCGTGGCTTTCGTAAGTTAAAAGAAATTCGTTAGACTGCTAATCGGTGAATTACAGGAGGCCGCCGATTGGTCGACGGATCACTTTTGAGAAGATGTGCATTAATTACTGATTCCGAATTATAATGATTTAAGTAGTCTCCTTTTTACTCGACCATATCTCACAATATATGTGATCGTTATCGTACAAGTCAAGTCAAGTTTGTTCTTCTTCTTGGCATTTTTTTTTTTTATAAAAAGGATATCAAAGAGAAAATGAGCATAAAAATATTGAAATAATTATAAGCATTTGATTCGGGTTTCTAGAAACTAAATTGCCAAAATTTTTTGTATATTTTTTTGAACTTTTAGACTCTCGCCTTCGAAAGATTTACAGAAGCAATGCGATTAATGTGCGTCTGTTTTTATCATTAACGTGGAAGATAGAATTAAAATAACTGACATTCGCAGTAACTTAAACGCAAAACACATCGCTGTTTTACAGTCAGTTTTGTGAGGATTTTTCATAATATAACAATAAAGTATTGAAATACGTAATAAAAATAGAGGTAAACCCTATAAACAAAGTACTTATTATTTATCAACCTGAAGCGCGCTTGCTACGACGTATAAGAAAAAAATACATTATGGGATAATAATGTAAAAAGAAATATAATAATACTGTCTAGAGCTAAATTTGATCGAATAAACGGATCAGTTTAAGCGAGACTTACAATAATATTAGTAAGATAAAAATTGAGCGAAACCGTGTTGATAGATAATCAGTGATGAGAGATCAGAAATGAGAGAAACAAGCACGATGATGTAAAATTTCGGACGAAACTAGTTTATCAGTATGATATCTGATATAGTAATATATGTAAACAATATAAGTAAGTCAGTAGTTTGTAATTACGGTGATAATATCCTCACCTGACGAAGATACGAAATTTTATGTTAGAAACTAACATTTTTTTAAATGAATGTTGCGTTTCTGCGCATGATTTATAATATGTATATGTTACATATTGATTATATATATATATATACATATATATATATACATATATATATACATACATATATATATATACATACATCATATACATATATATATATATATATATACCGTGTAAATACGATAAAAATACGTTTTAATAAAATTTTAATCAAAACAAAGTGGAGTTTTATTTCCGTTATAATTAAGAGGAATCTTTTCGAGAACATTCATTATGTCAGAGCATTAAAGTTCATAAAGATGTAATAAAATGATCAACTTCTTCGATCCAGAAGAAGAAAATAAAGTGGCGACCGAGATTTCAATGTTAGAACGAGCAGCGTACAAAGTGCGTAATGCACATGTAGAGATGGATGACGTATGGAGCTCGATTAAATAACTTCTATCATAACAAGTCTCTGCGCGATAATCTTATGCAAAACGATCGATGAAAATAGGGCAGAATCACTGATACGCGTGATCGAATGGCCTTCTATAGTACAAGCAACGTTCCTAAGACGCTCATTATTGTTTAATGATGCCACAGATAAGCGGAGCGGCGATATTATCTCAAAGTTCGTGCACGTCCGTGCTTAGAACACCGCATTTCAAATAGACTACGTTTCGCCTATTACAAAGTGCGCAGTTTCTCTGGACATCTACGCGACCGTTTAAAAAATTATTATATATATATATATAGATACAATTCTAAATTCAATTGAAATCTAGTCATCAAATCATAGCATCACTGTTCTTAAGCTTTTTTCTCCTCGTCTCTCTTTCTATTACATTTTTTTATTACAGACACTTGGTGGAACTCCATTGATACAGCCCTGTCTGCACACTAACATCATCGTATATAACGGAATATGTAACCTCATCGCAGGCTCAAGTGATAAACATGTTTGGTGAAAGGAGGGGAACTGCGTGGATGGTCGACATCAAGTCGGCGAGTGTGGCAGAAGAGCTCATGGAGAGCGTTGCTTCGCACATTTCATTGAAAACTGTGCTATAATTCATTCTAATTTGCTTGACAATCGCGCTAAGAATCGCACACGAGATGTTGCCGAGACGACGCGTCATTGATCTTCTACAGGTCATTTCATCTCAGTCGTAAGTGCACGAAGTCTACCATAAGTCTGCCAAAAATACTTATACGGAAGAAAAAATAAACAGCTGCGGCACCTTCAAACGTGAACCACAGAGTATTCTTATCGAATATTAAATTGTTGATAAGCACAATTAAAAATCTCTAAAAATATACTACATTTTTACTGGTACAATGGCATTAATATGATCACTAATAGATATGACTTAACGAGATGTTTCTTACTAAAAGAGTAAAAACAACTTTCGCCAACTTTTTCTAAGCGTTACATAAGCGGTCGGAATAGAATACAGATGGAAGGCGACAATGTCAGTGGCAATCTGTCAAAGAAACCTGCACGTGCAACGTTCATTAAAGTAGCGGTTGATCATTCGATACTGATATTTGATAACAAGTGTTTTCATGGCGAGGCATGAAAATCGATTTTGTGGTAAATATGAAGTGCGAAAACTTCAGGTAAAACAGCGCCGATTTGCATTTCAGATGCAGGTGCCCTGCACACGGAAATCCCGGAGCAACTGGTGTTCGCGAACACGGAAAAGCTCGAAGCACCGCGGCAAATGTCGCAGCCGGTAAAGAATACGCTTTCGAGGTAAAATTCGTTAGAAAATTCGCGTAGAGCAAAGAATCGCGGTTATGTCGCGTTGTGATAACGAGCCGACTCGATCACACACCGCGCGATTATGAAATCGAAAGCCTCCAGGATGTGCTATATTCAGATAAGAATCGTTCGTAAGATGGCTGTATCTGCTGAGATGTTATTAATTTGTTGATAATAATCTGAATGATGTATCGGACCATATCAGGGCCGGTGCCATCATTCAGGTTGCCCTGATAATTGTTTTCTGGCCACATATACAAGATGTTCGGGATTTTTTGGAAACAAATTGTGAAGATTAATCAGATCAAACTGAGAAGGAAAGTCAAGTATCATTTTGCAAATAAGTATATAAATTTTCAAATTGTCAATTAAAAGAACCGCTAGATGCGGTTATTTTCAATCATCAATAACTTGATAATTATTGCGATTTTTGCAAAATGGTACTTGACTTTTCTTCTCACTCTGATCTAATTAATCCTCGAAATTTTTCGTTTCTAAAAATGTCCCGGACACCCTGTATATACTTGAACGAAATATATATACATATTTATTTGTATTGATATTTGTTGTGTATTCTTTACTCATTTGTCGTTATTACTTGAATTTAACAAAAGCCGAAAAAAGTCAGATGTTAATTTATATTGAATCTAAATCTCAAAATGAAGTCCGTGAAACATCGTTAGACCGATCTTTTATTTTTCTATCGTTATGTCGTTCAGTTATTGCGAGTCAAATGATTGTTCCAGATGGCTTGCTCCACAGTGAGATACGGAGTAGGAGTAACGAGAGAATTGGGGATGGACATACAAAATATGCGAGCGAAGAAAATATGTTTGATGACAGATCCACATTTGGTGAATCTAGCGCCCGTAAAAACTGCTATCGACAGTCTCGCCAAGCATGGCGTTCATTTCGAGATTTATGATAAGGTACGCGTGGAACCAACCGAGCAAAGTCTACAGGACTCTATCGAGTTCGCCAAGCGCGGAAACTTTGACGCTTTCGTAGCGGTACGTATGCAAAAAGTTTTTTACTCTCTCCTACGTGACGAGCGTAGCTGCAATACTATAAAAGATTTTAAAAAGATCAACATTTGTTATTTATAATTTGTTAAATAACAGCGAGAGACACTCACATAATGTGTTGGAAGCAACAAAATATTTAACACGTGTAATTGTAGAACAAAACTAACGTGTAACACCAGAAGATCTGTACATTTCTCAACCGAAAAGAAGTGAATTTTTTAAGCTCGCAGAGTAGACGAAGAATGAGAGAAAAATTGCCTGTTTAATAATAAGTTCGCAAATTATGAATTTGGACGTTCAGGTTGGCGGCGGTTCCGTAATGGACACCTGCAAAGCTGCAAATCTATACAGTTGCGACCCAGACGCCGAATTTTTGGATTACGTGAACGCACCGATCGGGAAAGGAAAGCCGATCCAGGTGCCTCTGAAACCGCTCATTGCCGTTCCGACCACCTCAGGCACCGGTTCTGAAACAACTGGCGTTTCCATCTTCGATTATCGGCCACTAAAGGCTAAAACTGGGATTGCAAACAGGTAATACTCGTCGCTTCGTCGATTACGATATCGTTCGACACGAAAAGATGATCAGAAATTTAACGTTTCTCACTACAGAGCCCTGCGTCCAACCTTGGGGATCATCGACCCTCAACATACCCTGACTTTACCAGAAAAGGTTTGTGCTTATTCTGGCTTCGACGTGTTATGCCACGCACTGGAATCTTTCACAGCGATACCCTACACGGAAAGGACACCATGCCCGACAAATCCAATCCTAAGACCAGCCTATCAAGGCAGCAATCCTGTCAGTGACGTTTGGGCGCGATACGCTCTACAAGTTATGCGCAAGTAACGAATGAACGAATTGCTTTACAAAATATACAAAATATTTAGAAATCTGCACCTTTACTTTGAATCACAAAAGACTCTAAAGATTAAATTAAATTAAGTGTTAAACTGACTCCATACAATGCTGAAAATCTTGGAATTACTACGTAGTATTAAGAAATGAAGGTATCTTGGCGAATTTTAAATCATAAAACTTATTTAAAACATATCTTTTTACTTTAATCGCGATGAAATTTAATCTATTAGAGAAAGGAGAGATGAAATCGACAACACCTGTTCTCTTTCTGCGCAGATACTTTCAACGAGCAGTTTACAAACAAGATGACCTAGAAGCAAGAAGCCACATGCATTTAGCAAGTACTATGGCAGGTGTTGGCTTTGGCAATGCCGGAGTCCACCTTTGCCATGGTCTCTCGTATCCCATCAGCGGAAACGTCCGAACTTTCCAACCAGAGGTAATTGCCGATAAGAATCTTCGATCAATAGACGAATATTATCATCACAAATCCATCAAAGTCGAATTTAAACTAATTTGGCTGTCTCATTTAAGGGTTATAGTAAAGATCATCCTATTATTCCTCACGGTCTATCCGTGGTGATTTCCGCACCAGCGGTGTTTTCCTTCACGGGAAATGCATGTCCGGAGAGACATTTGGAGGCTGCGGAGTTGCTTGGTGCAAATGTCAAGAGTGCCAAACAGGCGGACGCCGGCAAAATTTTGGCCGACACGGTTAAAGAGTACATGCAAATGATGAAAGTCGAAAACGGCTTGACGGAGCTCGGTTTCAAGAAAGAAGACATTCCTACACTAGTTAAGGGGACATTGCCTCAGGTAGATAATGTGTTTAATATGTGATACCGACATTTTCTCGGTATCATATAAAAATCTATTAAATATATCAAATATAATAAAAAAAACATCATTTTTATTTTCCAGCACCGAATTACGAAACTGGCGCCACGTGAGCAATCCGAGGAGGATCTTGCGCAATTATTTGAAAATTCGTTTACCATATACTAATAATCACTTTGTGATTATTAGTCTGAAGAATTAAAGTCATCTTTTGACAAAACGCTTGTGTATACCAGATGTATATATCAGATGTTCGTAACAAATACACATTCTATTTTCTTACCCTAAAAAGTTACGAGAAAGCGCATCAAATGTGCTGCGAAACATGTTTCTTATCAAACTTACTTTGTTATCTTGGTTAAAAATTTAATGGTTAAACGAATTAATTGTTAAACGACTCAAATGATTAACAAAAATAAATATTTTCACGTAAATCTCCGCAGTGATTTTTTCTACAACCTTTTTTTATGTAATTTCATGTAATTTTGTTTGAAATGTTACGATCCGTAATTTATAAAATAACGTTTCAATTAATCGTTACGATCAGTATGTAACAACGTTTTAATTAATCGTCATGTAAATGATGTAACGTTATTAGTTATTTGTTAAAACTTCGCATAACGAAAACAACGTTTATTCTCTCCGTAAAACACTTCTACGAGTTCATTCGCTGTTTAAATTTAACCGGGTAACTAACCGCACGAATAAATTTCAACCATCCTTTCCCGCAGAACGCCCTTCCAGAAAACGCCTCTTGACCCTGAGCTTCTAAGTGACGAAAAGCCTTCTGTTCTAAAGAGGCAACCGTGAATATTCCCCTCGTTCGTTTTACATTTTCTATCGTTTAAAATTAGCCGGTCGTTCCACTGTGTGCACTGTGTGTATAGAAATAGCGTGTGGACCAATGCACTGTGCCGTATGTATTAGACAGTTTTTTACAATTCATGTGCGAGAAGATGCAAAGCTGGAGGTAACAGTGGAAAAAGTGCTCGGTCTCTTTCCCACATGTGTGCATTCGTGCGCATATATGAGTAGCGAGTCAAAAGTGATTCAACGATAATAAATCTTAGATTTTTCCAAAAATTATATATATATATATATATAGGATATGTGTATTTCTCCCCCTTTCCCCGCCCCAAATTATGTACATGTTCATAACTATACATAATTATAAAGATGTACGATATTCTCAATATGCAGCTTCAACGTGAAAAACAGCACAATTGCACATCTAACGCTAGATACATACTGCAAAAATACATCGCTGTATTTCTGACTCGAAATAACAAAACTGTAACGTACGCAACTTCTCTCGTAAAGTTTGTCGTGATGAACTTCGCGCTGTTTACCGTTTGCATCGCGCGAAGAAGGTCGGATGACGCTGTCGTTTTCAAGCGATCTTTTCTTGAATAAAAAATATTGTCGAAACAGAGTGATCACACAAGTCATGGCAGTCGTAGGAATCAACGGATTCGGAAGGATAGGAAGAATGTGCCTTCGCGCTTGTCTCGAGAAACGCATTGAAGTGAGTTTTCGGTATTGGCGAAATTTGCATGCGACGCCATTGATCGTAAATAATAGATTCATAAATATCGCAGGTGAAATTAATCAACGACCCGTTCCTGTCAACGGAATATATGATATATCTTTTTAAACACGATTCTACCCATGGACCGTACCCTCTGTCTCTGGAGTGCGAGAACGAGTATATAGTTAGCGGTGGTAAATATACTTTCTGCTCCTATACTCGAGCATATGAAGTTTTTAGTCGCTACATGAAGTCATACTACATGTAATAAAAAATCATGAACACATTTATTGCCGAATTGCTCGATGAGAGACGAGAATTGCAACGTCGCAAGAGAAACAACCATCAAAAATACCGTGGAAAAGCATAGGAGTGACTTTTGTTATCGAAGCCAGCGGGGCATTTACATCCTTGGAGAAAGCAAGCGTAAGAAAAATAACTTGGTAACTTTGCACTCACCGATAGCAGCTGGATCCATGTTGACCATGTTGATCCATGTAGGTTGACCAAAATACGCCGGCTCGCCGGAAAGCCTGAAACAAAAACCAGATTTTCTTTTATCCCTTTTATGTCCTCAACATATTATTAAGACAGAGAGATAGAGATGCCGTTTTTATTATAAATCTCGAAATCAATTGTATGATAAATTTTCAACGTAACGATGCCTTCGCAGCTACACATTGATGGCGGCGCGAGAAGAGTCATCATCACCGCACCGTCCGTGGACGCGCCAATGTTGGTTTTCGGGGTGAATCATACGTGTTACAATCCCAAGAAAGATGGAGTTGTGTCTGCCACGTCTTGCACTACAAATTGCGCGGCACCAATCGTCAAAATTATGCACGACAACTTTGAGGTTCTCGAGGCGATGATAACTAGCATACACGCGGTGACAGCATCCCAAAACACCTTGGACGGCCCGATCGAGAAGGTTGCTCGTCACCAACGTATCTTCCTAAATGGACATTTTTCTACACATGGATTTTTTTCGCCGAATCCAACCGTCGTTGCATCGTGAAAATAAGTGATATCGCGTAGTCTTACACTTAGAGAAAAGATATCTAAAAATAAAAAATATCTATTCGGTGCAGGTACTAATATTTATTTATACAAATACACATATCTACGCACTGAGAACAATTGTTTTCATACGAGAAAATACAAATTTATTCGATCTGTAGCTTTCCATGAAAGCAATTGTTTATAATATTTAAAGAAAAGAATTCGGATTTAGGTAAATATATTATTAGTATCCACCGAATAAACATTTTTACACTTTTTAGATTTCTTTTCCAAGAAAGAGATCGGTCGAAACGTCATTTTTTACAATTTTGTTTGAGGGAGGCAGAATTTCTATTTCTCACACCCAAAAAAAGGTATTTCTATTTGTAAAGTGATTTTTCCTCATATTCTAAGCGAAGCCTTTTTACAGAAAAAGGATTCATCTTTCGAGAAAGCGATTAATGTGGACCATTTATCTAAAAGTCATTAGATGTTATTCAAACTGTTTTCTTCTTATTTCAAGAGGATTTCATCATTGTATCAATTAATTTTCCTCTTATATGAAGAGGAATATGTTGATTTGAATGTCTTCTTTTGTTCAATCATGCTCTACCTCCAGATATGAACGAAAAGATAATCATATGCTCATGGGTCAGAATATTGGAACGCTTTTTAAAGAAGATATATGTGTTGCTGTAACATATAACAAAAATAATTTACTCATATTTGGTCAAATACAGTTTATAATCTATTGCAAGAAATTGAATAATTCTTCCTTTTAATTATGTTTCATACAATTGATTATGATGAATATCTTTGTAGCTATGAAATCCATAACAAAACTGATTGGAAATTTATTTGTTATAATGATCTTATTTCATTCGTGCCTTCTTATTGTAGAACTGGAGGCAGAAATACACACATATATATATATATATATATATATATATATATATTATTTTTCGCACATTATGATAATTTTTTTAAATTAATTAGTATTATCAGTAAGAATAAAGTACAGTAAAAATAAATAATAATCCTCTTAAGGAAAGATTAAATAATCTGTGTGTAAGAGGGAACTTATATTAAAATCAATAAGATTTGCATTATGCATATAACATATAATCCCTCTAACTTTAAGAATAACGTGTAATATTTCCCTTTTAATCTTAGAAGAATCTTAGAATCTTCTTGAGGCTCTGAAATTACTTTCTTTTGGGTGTATGCGCCAAATGTGCAGTTCTCAAGAAGCGGTTCTCACGAACCGCTTGTATTAATTGACGCGATTTTTTACCTCCATGTGCAGATGATCATTATCTTAACCAAAGTTTCACCATCCGCACGAATCATTCGCGAATCATGTTTCGCCGCAGCAACGGCCTACCACGTTGTGGAGGGACGGCAGAGGCGCGCTCCAGAATATCATTCCGACCGCAACCGGCGCCGGCAAGTCATTAACTAAAATTATCCCTGAACTCAAGGGCAAGATTTCAGCCATAGCGTTCAGGGTGCCGATCCCCAACGTCTCATTATGCGACATGACATTCAGGTAATCGGCGGATGCAGACTCGCCATGAGTTCACGGAGTAACTGACCCGTAAGACCCCGCGCGGCTTATTTCGGCTTCATTAACTTAGCGAGCTGTAACTAAATCTTACACGCATGCACAGAACAGTGCAGACTGTTCTCTCTCTCTCTCTCTCTCTCTCTCGCTCGCTGCAAACATGCTCGCTCCGAATTAGACGCTCGTATATTCAGATTTAATAATAGTCGAGGCACAGTATCCTCATACACGACGCCGCAGACGCGTCTAACGTCGCGCGAAACCCCGCTGCAGAGTCAACAAGCCGACAACGTACGAGGAGGTGAAGGAGGCGATGAAGGAAGCGGCGGACGGAAGCCTGAGGGACGTGCTGGGGTACACGGAGGACGACTGCGTGTCGTCGGACTTCAACCACACGACCTACTCGTGCGTGTTCGACGTCAAAGCGGGCATTCCGCAGACCAGCACTTTCATCAAGATCGTTGCCTGGTAATGCGACTGCCGTCAGTAACGTCGGAAAGTTCTTCGACGGCCTATATAGCGCAAAAGTTGCAGCAACATTGCTGCAACTTTTGCGCTGTATGGGGGGTCGCGATATGCCAATTATATGCGTAACCTTGCGTCTCCCCGCAGGTACGACAACGAGTACGGCTATTCGTATCGTATAGCCGACCTAATTCAATACATGCACAACGCCGACATCGGTAACGTCCCCGTAACCGGACAGGTTATCGAGCACGGTGACGACTAACGGCTATGAAAATCTGCGCAGCTATAGGTCGAGATAACGCCAAGTACAAAGAACAAGCGAATTCAAGCGGCACTATGCTCTCGAGCAGTACATTATTCTACACAGTACGAGAATTGTTTCCGGATTCGCGGCGTTTATGCGTATAAGTATGATAATTACGCGATATATCTACTTACTCATGAAAATTCCTCGCGAGCCCCCCGCGAGTCGGCAGCCGCGAGGTTATATCCGTCCGTTTCCCGAATATACTTCGAAATATACCCGCGATGTACTTCGAGAAGCATCTCTAAAACTGAAGCCTCACCTGAAGAACGACAACGCAGAGCACATCGCAACACACCGCAACTCACCGCGGATGGATTCGGCTGCAAATAAATCCGCGAGATCGAAGGCTCGCGAAACTCGCCGCGGCCTCGCCGGCGCGCCGCGGTTCCGCTTGAAGTTCGCGGCGTACGAATACGTCGATAATCGATGCGCGTCACGTGACGGGCCGAGTGGCGGCGATGGCGCACGAAGCGCGGCGGTTACGCGAATCCTTCGCGGACGTGCGCCGCTTATATCAGCGCTGCCTGTGCCCTTCAAATGACACTACTTCGTTAGTAACGGCGGCGGACGGAGCTTGCTTTCTCTCGCGGTAAGTACCTGCCGTGTAATCTTCTTCGCCTTGACACTCTCACGACACACCGGCCCGTTCTCGCTCTCGCGCGAGCAAAGAAGCGTGAATCTTGCGAGCCGTTATCGTTCGGTCGCGCACCGTTCACGTTCTCGCGGAACGTACGTGCGGATCGCGCATCTCGTTCATGCCTGACTCGCGCGAACGGCCAACGTGCCGGCCATTCTTCCATGACGTCGGCCGGCCGACGAGTACCTCACGAGATAGCGGCCGGCATCCGGGCCGGTCTCCCTTGGATCCTCGCGAGGAATACGTTCGTCAAGTGCTGTCTCACGAGCTCGGCTCGGTCTACCTCGCAAATCTGGGCCGACCCACCAAACGAAAGACAAGGAGTGGAAGACGCTGCAGCGTCTCTGTGCCTGCCCGCTTCCTCGCCGCTCCTCCCTGCGTCTCCTCAGCGTCCATCGCGATTCCGGCGTCAGCTTCGGATGTGACGATCGTTGCACGGTCCATACGCGATCAATATCGCGTATTGCACGACGGTTCTATAAGTAGCGGGAAGTAGATGCTCCATGTGTCACGATGTAAGCCGTTATTGACAGATCGTAGACCTGCGAGGTTTATCATAGACTGTGATATCGCGTAATCTTAGCGTCACAGCAGGCGAATTATTGTGCAATTTTCACTCAAGACCCTGTGCTGACGATGTATCGCGTTACTCATTCCGATCCGGCTTTACAGTGTGATGACGATATTGAAAATGTATAAAATATGAGTGTTTTTCGAGGAAAAGCGTCCGGTTCTCCAAATCGATATCTAATTCACATTCGTTTCGTCTCTCCGGCCGCACATGGAAGACCGATTGCTCGTGTTTCTTTGTGAGATGTAGAATTGAGATTTCATGATATATGCTTTTTATCATCTCGGTATCTCGAAGAGTCGCTGTGTGTGAGAAAGACCGAGCTTCCCGATCGATATAGCCGGAGTCTGCACGGACCGGTTTGTGCCGGGTGCGAAGTTGAAGGAGGAAGCGCGGTTATTGCAGTTCTCAGACGCGAAGGAAATAATTGCGACCACGGGTACGGCTCATACCTTTGTCGCGATCAATTCAGTCGCGTGATCAGCAGCGCAAGTTGTAGCTCAGTTCTCGCTCGTCTCGGCCGAGCGAAAATCGGCGGTAGTTACGTCAGGTCGAAACGCGCGATTGCATCAATGCGCCGAGGAACGAACGATGCCGGTCCTCGACGCGCCGATTAGTGGTACTAGATACTTTTTTTTTGTCGTACGATGGCCGATAATCCCGCGAATGCGAGGTCACGATCGTCCCCAAGGACATTGACGCCGAGCTTGGAACTTGGACACACCCCCTTTGACCTTGCTCGACCTCCAAGATTCGCCCGGCCAATCCGGTGCATCGAGACATGTGCCAAGACGTAGCGCTCTACTACAGCCGCTCTCGAAGATAAACCTGACTAGAGAAGAGTTTCCGTCACGTCCGACATTACGCAAGCGGCATTCACGATTTGTCCGAACGTGTCTGCTCGATAACTTTTTTACGATTATAAGCTGAGTGATAAACAAGGGTTTTGATACGACCATTTAAATTTAGATGTTTTAAATTTAGCCGACATTGCGAAACATCCTGCAGCTGTTAATTAATAAAACGTGATTCCTCTTTTCTGATGCGATGCAGCGATTACGTTCAATCACCGCACATCTCGTGCATTTTAGCAGACGTGCAGGTGGCATCAGCTTCAGTTTATCTGGCCATCAGCATCCTTAAAAGCAGAAAGTGACTAGCAAGTGAAAAATGCGGGAGGTCTGTTCTTTCTCGCTGAACTAGTCGCGCCTGAACTTTTCGCCTTTGAAATAAAACGATCGTTTAATTTATTCTTGAAAAGAAAAAGTAAGAAGGCAGCGCTCAGAGTGCAGCGCTAGTTCGTCTGGCAAGAACAGACCTTGTGATGGATCCAGTCGTCATAAATCGCATACCTATCACGTTCTAACCTAAAGACCAATAACGAGCCTCGTTACACAATGAAATTCACGCTCTTATACCTGTTCCACGTGACCGCGCCGATTCCTCTATCGGCAGCAGCGCGAACAATACACGGGCGTTGCGCAGCATTTCGTAACATCTTCATCCGTCGATGTTCCAGTTGCAATCAAGAAGACGACATGAGCAAGATCGGAATCAACGGATTTGGCCGTATCGGCCGTCTCGTGCTGAGGGCTTCCCTGGAGCGCGGTGGTCAGGTATGCTGGCAGACTCGGAGCAGTCGCAAATCAGCCAATCACGCTTCAATAATCTGTTTATTAATCCGCTGTCTTTGCCAACAGGTCGTCGCCATCAATGATCCCTTCATTGGCCTTGATTACATGGTCTACATGTTTAAGTACGACTCCACTCATGGCAGATTCAAGGGTGAGATCAAGGCCGAGGATGGCTGCCTGGTCGTCAACGGGAACAAGATCGCCGTCTACAGCGAACGCGAGCCGAAGGCGATTCCATGGGCGAAGGCCGGCGCCGAGTACATCGTCGAATCAACCGGCGTGTTCACAACCATTGAGAAGGCATCCGTATGTGATTTCGAGATTGTTTAACCGTCTAATTCATGTATTCGCCAAGGAACTTCATTCGACCTCGTCTGGATGCAGGCTCACTTGGAAGGCGGCGGCAAAAAGGTCATCATCTCCGCTCCGTCGGCCGATGCACCGATGTTCGTCGTCGGTGTGAACTTGGAAGCTTACGATCCGAGCTGCAAAGTAGTCTCCAACGCCTCCTGCACCACCAACTGCTTGGCGCCTCTCGCCAAAGTAATCCATGATAACTTCGAGATCGTCGAAGGCCTCATGACCACCGTTCACGCGATTACGGCCACTCAAAAAACCGTCGACGGACCTTCTGGCAAGGTATGTATCGTACTACCTGGCGAGAGAACAGACGTATCCCAAGTAGAACAGGGAAATCACGAGACGGTCAAATTGAAAACGAAACAGATGATTGAATCACGACGAGAAAAGTGAGTCTCCGTGGACAGTTTCTTGTTGTTTTGGCGTCAACGTGATTTCCTGTTTTTTACCTGAGGTTAAAATGAGATTACACGAGTGAAATAGTCGTAATAACACTTTTTCATCCTCATCTCTTTGGTCACACAGCTGTGGCGTGACGGTCGCGGTGCGGCGCAAAACATCATTCCCGCAGCAACCGGCGCTGCGAAAGCAGTCGGCAAGGTCATTCCGGCTCTCAACGGAAAACTCACCGGCATGGCCTTCCGTGTTCCTGTGCACAACGTATCCGTGGTCGACTTGACGGTCCGGCTCGCCAAGCCCGCCACCTACGACGCTATCAAGGCCAAGGTAAAGGAGGCTGCTACCGGCCCCCTGAACGGCATCCTGGGCTATACCGAAGACGATGTGGTCTCGTCCGATTTCATCGGTGACAACCATTCGAGTATCTTCGACGCCAAGGCTGGCATATCTCTCAACGACAACTTCGTGAAGCTGATCTCGTGGTATGACAACGAGTTCGGTTACTCCAGCCGAGTCATCGATCTGATCAAGTACATGCAAAGCAAGGACAACTAAATAGCCCTCAGAAATCGATTTATTCATTTATGTCCTCCTCTAGCTCCGATCTCGTCACTCCGATGGTCAAACAGTTGTGCCGGCATATCACTGTTGTATGAACACCTCGTATTAATCAATCGTTGTTGCTAACTCGTAACGCAGATATACACGAAATAAAACAAAGGGTGTAAAAAAAAATACTTCGTCATACAGTCGAGATGCGGTCGTAGCTGAACTGATGTGTTCTCGTCGTCGATTGGGAGACAAGGCAGGCTCTAGCGCGTTTATCCGTATGTAAAAGTCCACATGTATCTGTCTTGTATCGGAATTAACTGGTCAATAGACCGTAAATGTAAATGTGAACGTCTGTAACGTGAATGTTGATGCGGCAGAATCTATATAATCGCGAAATTCGTGTTTACAGCAGAGAGAGATCTTATGATTTCATTCATCGTAAACGAGCAAACAATTCCTGATGATTAATCATACGGAGGATGATTCTGTACTTGTATCCTATCGTGATAGGAATAGAGTGACATACACGTGTGTGTGTGTGTGTGTGTATTATATGTATATATATACACGCCACATCATACACATACTTTTTATCATTCGCGTTCATTCATACCCGAAAAAAACTTCATAAGTATTCGCAGTTAAAAAATATACGATTATCATTTTTCATTCACACAATGACATCAATAAAAGTTGTTATGAAACTAAAGTAGTTCCTTTATTCATGCTCGACAGACACTTTTGTATTTCTATATCGTTACATTTCTTTTTACAGGACCGCAGACAATAAATCGGACAGATGATTCTGATATAAGCGTTAACTTTATATAATCTTTATATATATATCCGTATATATCTATACAATTACAAAAAAGTCTCCGTCGAATACTCGTTGATTTCTCTCTAAGCTTTTAATGTCCCATGATGACCGACAGGAAAAAGTACCGTCGTTCGGTTTCAATGACGGCAGTATATAAACTTTAAAATTTCGCGTTATATGGCACAAAGAGTTATTATTATTTTAGTAACAATGGTTGCTTGGCAAATATTTCTGTTCTGCTATCTGCAGCAATAAATCAATTAAAAATACTAAAGGACGTGATGTGTATTACACTGATCACGGATCATTATACATTTGATTGCATAGAAATGGCGAGATTTGAAGATGTGAAACGCTGAGACTAATATAGATCTAAGCCACAAGGGCTGAATCTTACAGGGGAGTAAAAACGAGATTTCTAAGTCCAATTTGTTCAAGTAACCTGTATATATGTTCATTGTAGAGCTATATATGTTGAGCAATCGCTAGTCGCTAGTTAGAAATAGCTATGTAAGTGGCTAAAAGCACTCTCCCGCCCACAGATCGCTGCAGTGACCTGGTTTCGCCGTTGATGTGCCTGATAGGTCTATATTCTTCTCACGCTTCAAATAGTCTGCATCCCAACTATAGTATAGTTATCTTTTTCCTTTAGTCTACGGTAATAGAAATCGGTACACGATGATGAGATGATGATGATGAATTCCAAAAGATTGGTACACCAAAATCGACGTATTCAACGTAAATTGATTCGTCAAGAGGGAAGCGTGTTTATACACCTCTAGATAAATTTATTTTCGAAGTATTCTGTTCCTGCAGATTCCACATTTCTCGTATATCTTTCATTAACATTTAACAGGTATCTCGTAGGTACTCTCGTTATATCATCAAGTAAAATATAACATCGTAACAGTCCAGATTATCCCGTTCCTCAGTTGGCGCCGTGGCTTTCTTCCTTTTCCCCTTCCCCTTCCTTTTCCTTTTTTTGTGAAAATGTTAAACAGTCATACGAAAATACAGTTCGATTTTGTTGCAAATAACAAATATCTATCGCTCGTCTTTATAATACACAGCTAATTCGAAGTTTATAACGGACACACGTATGACAATTCCTTTGCCCGCTCACAGTGAACGAATAACTCCAGAGATTCATCGATATACAAACGATTACGGGATATCTTGATATTACTTTTTCTTTTATAAAATTAGCAATTTTTTCTTATACAGGAAAACAACAGTCGGATATTTCTTCAACTATCGACATTCAAATGGAATAATAACATGACAGATACACTTGCATGGCGCATTATATAGAAATACGTATAAATTCACAGCGATACACAAGTCACGATAAATCACAGGGGTAAATTTAGTAACGTAAATTTTACGTCGAACGCGCCTTCCAATATGATTTTTTTTTCTTTGCATATAAATGTAAACAGCAGCTCGTCAATCTGGCTATTCGCACAAGCACTTACAAATTGTATACCATCAGTATAGAGATCATGATCAGTTTTGTACACGATTCGTAATTGATATAATATATATCTCTCTCTCTCCCCCCTCTCTCTCTCTCTCTCTCTCTCTCTCTCTCATCGGTACATTTCTTCTCTCATCCTAAAGTAAAATACCTATATATGTATGTATAATGTCTTTTTTTCCTTTTTTGTAAATTTCGTCCCCTCTGCCGCATCTCTGTCCGCCCTACGATGATTATTACGAAGATGAATGAATACTTACTGCGAAATACTTTGTTGGGAAAAGGTGGAGTTCTAGACTAGCATAACATGTTAAATACATGCGTTTACAATGAGTCGAGGATACGTGGCACCTCATAACTTCGATCGGATGAATGATAAACGAGTAACAATCACATCAAGTCAAGAGTAGGAGTTTCGCGCGTAGGTTTATGCGTTCTTGGAGCGCGCTGGCTAGTTCTCGCGTCAGTTCTTCGCAGATTAGGCGTAGTTCCGCATTCTTTTCCCTCAATTCTTGCAAAGTCAATTTCCTCTCGTTCTCCGATTCGTCCTTACCATCCTCTTCGCTGCCGTCCCGTTCTGATAATGTATGCGACATTTGGTCATTATCAATCCGAACGTTAAGATCGTACATAAATTTAGTCAATTCCTTCATCAGTTGAATGAAGAAAATACACTCACTATTTTCAACCTAAATATTATCCTGTAAAAGCAAGGCAGATAAAAAAGGTATCTTACTTGGACTGGGTTTCCTATAAATATGAAACGCTCCACAGACTCCGGTGAATTGTTGAGATTGCGGCAGCGAATTCTCTATAGGATTTTCCGGCAGTTCACTCTTGGGGGAAAAATGAGAGAAGTCGGCGACAAAGCCTTGACTTTCGCTCAATGTCCTTTGACCCTCACCTTCACTTCTCTGGCCGACCAATTTACGCGGCGATGTCTGCGGCGACAAAAACACTTTATTCTGTATAATCTCAGAAAATAATCTCAAGTGTTATCTCATAGAGACACACGATATGGTAAAACTGCTGAAGAAATAAAGCAGGATTCGTCACATATATGAAGAACTTACAATTCCTGGCGAAATTCTGGGCGGTACCAATGGCGGCGCTCCAAGGAAACTTTGACCGTTTTTCCCTGCAAAAACGTGCGTATCATTTGCTACGTGAGACTTCAATTCTATCGTTGTTTATATAATACACACAACTATACGTACCTAATTTGTTAAGATCAAGACTAGAACTGCGTGCGTGTGTTCTGTAGGGTCTGGGTGGCGGTGGCGGCGGTGGTTCCTTCTTGGGAGTAACAATGACAGCATCTTCGGGTGCCGCGGGTGGTTTCTTCGTGAGTGGTCGTTGTACCAGCGACGCCGCAGAATGCTGCAGCTCGTCTTCTCCTAAGGTTGTGCAGCTACTGCTACTGCCGTTAGCCCCGGAAGCGAGTATCGCTGCCTCAGGCGTTAAGCGCAGAGGCACCGGGTGCAAGATCTTCGGATCTCGCTCGACCGCCGACTTCTGGAAATCGAAATTCACTAGCTGCAACCCCGGGCTGGTGACCGAACTGCTCGTGCCGGTCGGCGAGTCTACAAACTTTGTCCACTCTTTATTCTTCTCGCGGCTGTTATTCGCGCCGCAGGTCGGCGATGATTTCTGGGCGTTTGTCACCGGTGGGATCTGCGGTGCGGCAGTAGCTGTTTGCATGACTAACGGAATCGACAAGGACGGAGGTAAGACGTCGGGTAGAGGCACATGATTCCTCCTCAGTACAACGAGGTGCATAGCCACGTAGAATTCCTGCAGACTGAGTGCCCCGTCCCTCGTAACGTCCGCGAGCTGCCAAATACGTCTCAACTCGGCCACGGGAAGTCGCGACTTTTCGAAAAATGTTCTAGCCACCGGCCCGGCCAAGAGACCCTCCGGATCGGGCTGCAGCTGCGCGAATTGCGCGGCGTAATAATCACGCTGCTCGTCACTGATAATCCACACTTCCTCAGGTGGGAAACCCGAGTTGTCGCCGTCACCTTCTCCCTCGTCGCTACTATGACGCTCTGAGCTCTCCTCTTCTGTACCCAACAGCTGTCTCTGTTCTTCGGAGACCAGCAGACCCTGCCAGCCACCGGAAACGGAATCCAATATTGTCTCACTACCCAATATACCATCGTTCCTCTCTTGAGTGACACTGTTTGTTGGTGTAGGGGAATCTGTGCTGCCGCCAGTCTCGCGTGGAGATTCAGCTTCACTTTCACTCTCCGTAGTACTCTCTGGGACGTGACACCTGCCCTTTGCGCCTCTGATCGAATCTGAACTCCTCCTGCCATCTTCGTCGCCAGAGGTTGGCCATGTGAATCTTGGCAGGGTAACAACATCCAGAGATGCGGTCAACATATCTCTGCAGACCTCAAGACCAGCTTGATGAACAGCTATAAGCTTCAGCACTGCATAAAACTGCTTTTTACCCAGATGTGTGTTGCCTTTGGTTCCAATGCAAATATCCAATATCTACAAATTCAAACAATCACCGATTATTAAGACATGTGTATACATGTAAGTGGGTGTGTGTGTGTATATGTATACAAAATTATAGGAAAACGACTTTCTGTCACTTCTCACCAAACTATCTTTTCAGATCGATCACCAGCGACAAAAACAAATCGACTTGAAAACTTGAAAACAGCTTTTGCTAATTTAACTCCCCCAATCCTGCATATATACACGGACTGATGCGAGTTACTCCCCCAACTGCCAACTGGCAGGATTAATCGGTTCAGCTGCTGCGATATAACCTCCACAATTACACCCGATACACGCTAATACCTAGTTTACATGTATTCAATCTCGACGTCACGAGGTAAAAGGCACGAGCGTGTACCACCTACAGGTGAATTCCTATCACGGGATTAACAAGAGAAACGTCAACGTTCGAGAGAAAAAAAAAAAGAAATATATCCAAGTCCAGCTTCCACCTTCATCGTGACGTCCCGCGGCAAATTAGCAAAGCGCAGCAACTCGGCGACTTTGATGACGGGCACGCTGTCGCTGTCCGCGTTCTCGCAGCAATATATGAATATGTCGCCGTAATAGCGGTGCTCGGTCGCGGTCAAGTGCAGGCTCGCCATCGTCATCAGCTCCCAGTCCATCTTGACAGTTTGGGCTCGACTCGCGAGTGCGTTCACGGCCCCGGCCGCGTCCCGTTAACGTCTCCGGGTCGCCCTTCTTCTCTCGGCCGCCGCCGGTTGTTGGCCGTTTTGCTCGTCCAGCCGCTCGCTCGCTCGCTCTACTCGCGATCGCGACACGGTCTGCTTCACGATGCGGTCACGATCGTTTGCAGTCACATAGTCGCGTGCGACGTTGAGATCGCGGAGATCGTGGGGGGTGCCACGAGAACAGCAGAAAAACGTCGTTTGTGAGTTGTAGTCCGTGCACGGTTATCGGACGATCTCCACGCTACCTCCGGCCGACTGACTAGCTGGCTGACTGGCTGCTTACTGGCTGGCGCGATGTTTGACATTACTATAATTCGCGTCAGCCAAGAATGGGCGATATCGTCTCGATTGTTTTGTCATCGATTACTTTTATCTTTTCAAAATCGATTATCGGGTGATGTTTTTCTTTTTCAGCCTGATTATCCCCTAGACGATAAACTTTTGCTCGATGTCACTAGAATCGTTACTAATCGCGACTAACGCCATTTTCAAATGCAAGTTAGAACAGCTGTTACATCAGCAAAAGAGCGTACAGCAATAATTCCAAGGACTGAAATATCGACTTTGCATTACAGAAATTGTCTTCTCTTTCAGGTGAAACAGGTATGAAATGCGTTTTTCGTGCGGGCGATTAGGAGTCGCACTTGCGCGAGGATATATACCTCAGCGGTAGGGGCGCTGGTTCGCACTCCTGCCGCTTGAGGCCGCTGAGGTCAATTTGAAATTTATTCTTGGCTTCTGTAAATGTAGACCTGTGTAGACCAGCGTTACCGGATCGTGAGATTTTTTCGCACATGCGCAATAAGCGCAACTCCGCTCAGTCCCAGTCGCGTGCGTATTTCGCTGGAATATAAGGTATCGCTAAGGCCCTTCGAAAAAAAGACTGAGATATATTGAAAAATGAGTATAGGATAACGAGAGATGTATAACAAAAGTGTATAAAAGAACGTATTACAGGTTTCTTATGCATCGTTTTTTAAGTTCGTGCTGTCTGGTTACAATCCCAGACAGCACACGGATGTTCATTGGACGTCCGTTATATGTCCATTTTTTTTACAAAAGACGTCCATAGGACGTCCATAGGACGTACGTTTGTCACAACTTCGGACATAGGACGTCCGATGGGCGTATATCGGACGTCTTACAGGTCCGATGTCCAATAAGGACATTCTTGTTACGTCCAATTTATGTCCACGGACGTAAATCGGACATACGGACATAAATTGGACATGAAACGTACATCCATTGGATGTCCGGTGCTGTCTGGGAATACAAGCTATTTTACTTCATTATCATATAATAAATAATGGTTTTACATTCAACGATGATGAAAACCTTTAAGAATCGACTATTGATATCACAATGCTCGTGTATCATTTGTGAGTGTTTCTTGTTTTCATATATAACATTTGATCTGTTCTTTTTAGCTGCACTACTGAACCGATGCAATAAGTTAAGGTGAGACAAAATATAGTTGTCTCATTCTAACTTATTGCACTAGTTCCGTAGTGCAGCTGAAAAGAACAGACCAATGATAATACATTGCATACGCATATGCAATACGTGCTGTTCAAGTTTTCGTATAGGCCCCACATAAGCGCCTATTGCTGCATCTAAAGACGATACTGACAAGGCTGCCCATGTGGGGATTGTGACGTACTGACGCATGCGCTGTTGAATATCAGCTGACCAAAAATCTCACGATCTGGTGACGCTGCTGTAGACTCTTAACCGAGACTTGAACCACAAAATTTACCAGCTTCTACAAAATTTAGCCGAGACTAAACTGAGTGCGTGTGTTTTGCAAACTTTTAAAATTATATCTGATAATACTTGTCGCGATTACGCAAGATGGCGCCATTCTCAAATTTCCTTCTGCTGGAAAAGCTCGACAATAATTGCTTTTCGTATATGAAGCTTTACTTTAGAAATTTAACGGAAGATCCACTGAGATGTGTGAGAATGTTAATAGAGTGCAAGAAATAATTACATTGAATTCACATTGAATTTTCGCTAAGGCAAGAATCGATTTTTAATTTGTCGAATAACTTGTGAATGAATCAGACTGCAACATAAATGGAATCGTAATTCAAAGTGCAGGTAATGGACACATTAGCGTAATGTATTTCATGATTCATATCATCTTGATCTAACGACGACTTCAACGGGAGCATTGAAGTGAAAAAGATCGAAATGTGTTTCAATAGCCGTAACAGTAAACATGAAAATTACATTGTCGTTGATACCTCCTACACCATTGCGCGCTATTTTCTTCTACAGAAATAAATTCAATAGCCGGTCGAACTCTTGCGCGTTTAGCACAGTTCCTTCTTTTTGCAACAATATCGTTATTTTATAGCTTAGAGATGTTGTAGATTAGAATAGTCAGCGGAAGAAATATGTACGCGGTTTAGAAAATTAACGAAATCGTTGAGAATCTCTCTTTGGAACTCGAGACGGAAAAGCCCCGCGAGGATGTCGAACGATGGTATCGGATCTTCGAGAGAATAAAAAAACAGCTACAATATTAACCATACAAAATGACTCGTGACTAGAAGACGTTATTACATACGATGTCTCATCGATGTAATGATAATATAACGTTAGTATAGAGTTATGTTAGTGGAGAATGTAAGTAGGTCGATTTGGTCGTTCTCGTCTTGACGAGACACAACGTGTTAGTGGAGTAATAGAGTATGTTCCTCCGCAATGCTCAACGAAGTGGAATTCTTTTTCACGCTGTCGTAGCGTCCTGTGATCAATTTCTGCCCGGAAGTCTTACATCGCACCGTTGCGTCTTCTCTCGGACTACCGATGATGCTGCCGAGATCCCAATTACCGAAGTGTTCCTCGAGCAAGTCTTCCAGTTTCTTCGACAGCACTTCAAGTTTCTTGGTCCGCTCTTCGTCATGCTATAACAAAATGGTCCTCAGAGCTTCAGATTTAGAGGATTAATTATTCGCAGAAAAGAAGAGAGGATGAAAACCAAAAGAAAGCTTTATAGCGTGAAATTCGTCCTTCCTAAGATCGGATTTCTATCGATTGAAGTCAAAGATTAATTCTCAGATTCTAAAATTGATTTCTGATTTGAATAGAATATCGAGAAAAACGTAAAATCTGATGATACAACTAACCTGATAATACAATCTCGCGGTCTGAATGATACGCCGGAAATCTTTCAGAGCATGTTCAACCTTATGGTAAGCTCGGTTCTTCAGCTTATAGTCGACGATCTCGAAGAACATCGGACTCTTGACGTTCTTGCAGTAATTGTCAGTCTGTAAAGCCCAAAAAAATATTGTCACCGGACGTAACCCTAAAGCACAAACTGCACACTAAGAGAGAAGATTGGTTGAATTAACAAGATTTCCAATTTCCAAAGACAATTAACAAGTGAGAATGAATTTGGTTTGTAAGAAAAAGAATAAAAAAAAACAACAAAAAAGAAACTTACAAAAACCCGAAATTCTGTCCTCTTTTCTTTCTTTCTTTCTTTCTTTCTTTCTTTTTACCGAAATACGTTTGGTTCGTTCACTGTCGCGTTAATTCCACCAACTTTTCCTTTCTCCGTGCATCATTTGCATCTTTCGCTCGGAAACTGACCATCCCCGTAGGGACAAACTGGCCATCCTTGTCGCCGCACGAAGTTGGATATTTGAAGACTTTAGCTTCGTCCATCTGCCAAACAGCCTGATGGATAATTTCCAGTTTGCTAAGTGCCAAGGGACTGAGGTTCTGTTTTCTCCTGGAACTGTACCATACTGACCAGCCGCGATCGCCCGATTTATTGATGCACTTCAAGGCGCTCTCCGAGTGTTCCAGATCTTTTTTTTTCACGTATGTCTTCGTAGTGCTTGACGAGATAGATTTCGACGTTACGCGACACGACTTGACGTTGCCGACTTTCGCGCAGGACTCTTCTTCTAACTGGACTTCGTTGCTGTCCACGTTCCTCGCTGATTTCTTACCAATCGACTTCTGCGATTTGTGTAGAAGCTGATAAGATTGTTCAGGATCTTTCCTCTGGCACTTCCGGCCGGGAATTGGTATCATGGTGCCGCAGGACACCGGTACATTGCTCGTGCATGTTTTGTACGAATCCTTTCTGCTCAAGTACGCGTTGTCCGATCTGATGGATCTTCGCACCGTTTCCGAGTATGTGGCTCTTCCAACGTGACCTTCTGATTCCTTTGCCGACGTTTCGCAGTTTATTGGGAAGGAACACGTGATGTGTTCGCGAGAAAAGATCGCTGGGTACTCGCTATCGCTAATCGTTGCCGGAATCTTCAAATCCGTGTCTGCAGTTGATGACAATGCAAGCTGATCCGGCTTTACATCGGCAATCACCGAGCTGCTCGACGATTCAGAACTACCTCGGTCTATGCTGTCTTTACGTCGTCTCTGTTTGCCGGCGATACTCGCGTTGTTGAGAGTCCTTATCAGCCAGGAATCCGTCTTCACGTTGGTTTTCGTACCGAGAGCTATTGAACATGCTTTTTAAAAAAGGTTTGTTTTACTTATTATCGCTAGGTACTATCGGGCCAATTAAAACTGATCGTGTAGTTGTTAATTAAATTATACACTATCTTAGGGTCACGATAATAATACGTATTGGCAATATTTCTCAATTATATAATACACATAAGGGAGGACACAGAAAATAGCACATAGCATGACTTTACGAATCCTGATTGCATCGCATACTGATAGACTCGGAAGTCAACAGCGAGCGACATTTAACTTCAATATCTTTACCATTTTCATTATTGCACGACTGTGGCACCGATACGACGCTCGTGCTGGGCGACAGTCTGCACGTCGAGCCCGAATCATCCTCTGAGGCTTCGTAGGATGTGGCACAGTCAACGTCGGCACGCTTCGTCGATTTTGGATCACCCTGCTGTGACGTCGACGGTAACGCTCCGCCATTGTCTTCGGTCTTATCGTCTTTCTCGGTGCTGCGCTCGCGATCGATCTTCCTGGACGTATCGGCGCAGTCCTTGACATTGAGCGCTTCGAGAAGTATCTCGGCCGAGGCGCATGCTGCCTTCCACGTGACGTCCCGATGAGCGATCTGAGGTTCCGTGCGTTTGAGGATTCCAGGTGAATTCTCGAGGTCGAAGAGAGGCGCTGGCAGCTGCGAAGCAGACGGGAATGAGGTCTTGATCAGCGTGGCGTTACTGATGTTAGCGGACAAGGCCGGCGCGTTCAGGTGCGACAGGGGTGTCGACGACGTGAGCATCGGTAAGTTCTTCGTTTTGTTGGCGCACACATTGTGATGATGGTTGCTCGTGTGTAAGTTGCGAGAGTTATTGTCCGGGCGGCGATTAGGCCTTCTTTGGTGCCGTTTCTTCGGCACATTGTAGCTGCCCGGTTTCATGTATACTCGCACGTCCTCTGAGCTATCGTACTCCTCGGTCACGTGCTGCACCCGTGAGCGGCCGCTGATGAAGTTACCAGCGGCCCAGGGTGTACTCTGGATGTTCGGCAGGTTCTGCAGCGCCTGGAACTGCCGATTCGCGTCTATCTGCGATTGCTTGGGCCCGCCCGACGAGTGCTTAGGCATTTCCTGCTTGGTGAACAATCGCTGCGCTGAAGCCTCCTCGAAGCTCGACACGGCCGTCGGAAGCTGCGCGTTCCGCATGCTAGCGAACCAGGCCGACAGGTTAGCCGCCATCTCCTCGGACTCTTTATCAAATGTCCTCGGCTCGATCTGGCTGAGCAGGGTCACCTTGTTCCTAGGTACCGCTGGTAGCTCTACTTGGTCGATTTGCGATTTGTCGACGTAAACAGCATTGGCACTCGCACTTTTGATCCTATAAAGTTGCTCGGGATTTTTGCTCATCCTGGAAGTGGAGTCTGCGATCGAATAGGAATTCATCGGCAGTGAATAATTGGTCCCTTCGTACGTTAGGATAGGATCCGGGTTGGCTGTGAGATACGAAGAATCCGATTGACCAGGAAACTTGAAGGACACGCAGTTCTGCGCATACAGACCCCGATAACTAATCGGGTTGCTGATTGCTGGACTCTGCGGTCTAATTGACTCGGTGTTGTCGGTAAATGTCAGAGGTTTCGCTTCGAGCACGTAGTCTTGCCTCCTGTCCTTCGTCACGTCCGCATTGCTCTCCATTACTTTGTTCCTCAGCTGGCAAAATTCGGCATTCAGCGACTTCTGGGTGAAGCCGTACTTTTTAGATGAGAACGTATCCTTGACGCGGAATTTGCTCGTCAAATTATCGTTGTAACTCACGGGAATATTGGCCACAGACTTAGTGGTGTTGATGACAGACGACGGGTTCTCGATGATGGTCCATTTGCTCCGCAACTTGCTCTCCTTCTGACTCGCCGAGTGCTGTTCTTGTTGACCGGAATTGTATCGAAAGCTATACAGGCTACTCAATAGTGGCGTTGTCGTTACATTTTGCGGAGTTTCCCGGCAGGACACTCTCTCAATTGCGTCTTGTTGAAGAAAGGAATTCGCAGGATGAAGCAAAGTGAAGAGATCGTAGTTTATGTAAAGCGACACATCGCCTGGGAACGAGGACGAACCGCAGGTTTCCTTGCATTTGTGTTCAACGTCTGACGCCGACGCTTCGTCGTTTTCGCCGAATTTTCCGAAAGCCTGCACTATTTTCTTCAGAAGCTCATACGTGCTCACTTCCCATGTGTGAAAACATCTAATGAACTCAGGATCCAGTCTGTCCAGCAAGTTAGGAAAATGTTGTTTGTTCAGGTAATTGTCGAGGCTCAGCCAACCGTTGCTGATGCGCAAGAGAGCGTTTATAAGATCGTCGACAAAGACTCGGTCTCCGCCAAACACTGGAATACACGTTGAAGATTTGGTAATGGCAGTCTTGGTGGCGGATGCCAGACACGTTAACCAGTCCCGCTTGGGGTCCGTTCGTAAGCTGTCGGAGCTGCCGAGAACGAGCTCAGCTTCGGTGCATCCCCGATAAGCTGTCTTTCGGATCAGCTCTGGATATTGCGACCTGTCCGCACATGGATCATCCGTTTGGACACCTATCGACATTCCGTTCTCATACTCGGAGCAAAAATCAGTAAACCAGGCCGTCTTGTTAGACACGTTATCTCCTGCGCCGCTGAATGGCGTGGAGTCGGTCTTGGTGGTTTTCGATTCCTCTTTGCTCAGATCATTGGACGATGTGGTATTGCACAGAGCGGAGACCATCTTCTCAGCCTCGATAGTGAAGTCAAAGCTGGCCGAGGACGCGTCAGAGTAATGCTCTTCGTCGGTCTTTGCGACTGTGGAAATGGTCTTCTGCAAGGAACAATCGGCAGCTTCAAGGCTCTTGTTGTTACTTATGATTGGCAGGTCGTACGAATTCTTTGAGGATGTTTCGCTTTCAGGCGGCCAGCCACTAGTGTTGTCGTTGGGACCGATCGGAATGACTCGAGACTCGCAGATGCTCGGTGTTTTGCTCGCACTATGCTTGAAAGATGAGAATTCCAACGTGGATAATGGTAAAGTCTTATCCCGCGTTGGGGCGAAGACCAGACCTGTGACGGGTGAAGTCGAAAAGAACGGAGGAGACTGCACCGATGCCGAGAACTGATTATTGGTGTAGGTGGCCATACTGCTGTAAGGATTGATGTTGGCAAGCGGAAAGGATGAACTGGCGTTGACTGTTTGTAAGCTGCAGGCATTTGCGGCCGAGATATTGTAGTAGGAAGCCTGTATCGGGTGTTGTTGTTGTCGCTGAACATTCTGTCGGTCCTGAATAAGGCAAAAAGTCTGTTGCATGTCCGGTGATTTAAAATAGGGCTGTGGCAGCAAATGCGTCACTCCAGAAGTATTGTTGTAATGCTCGCTAGGCAAAGGGCCATGGGTGAACGTGGAAGAGGCTACTAAGAAGGACGTGGTCGACGGAGGGACTATTGAAGGGACGTTGGAGGTAGGTTGATCAAGGAGCATCATGGGTTTCGGATAGGAAAATTGTTGCTGTTGCTGCTGTTGGTAATATTGTTGGCCGCGAGACGTCTTGTTTTTCGTGTGCCATCGGTTGTTCTTACCTATATTTGTTGAATGTAGAACGTTACAATTGTCAGAGGAATGTTGCAATCATTATTTCGTCGCAATGTCTCAAGATGAAAAATTCGCTAATTTATTTACACGACTATGATTATTATTCGTACTTTTGCAATACTCTTGACATTTCATTAAGCTCTTTTTAAAATAACAGCTTTTATTGCTGTTAAAATGTCTGAAAGATTATCTCAGCAAATTAATGGTAATTGAAAATCATGATTAAGAATAAATGATTTTCTTCATAAGACGGTAAAGTTAATAATGTTAATTACAATTTATCTATCTAACCTTGAACATGTATAGGAGCGGGATTCGACGAGTCAACATGTGGTTGAACGGTCGGATAAACGCATGACGGATGAAGTGATGTTCCACATGGCTGAAGAGTCATCATTGGTTTACTGATGGGAGCATACAAAATTTGTCGCTGTGGTTGTTGTTGCTGTAGCTGTTGATAAACAGACGACGTAGTCGATGAGGTTAAGATCTGAGATGATCGGGGATAATGTAGGGATGATCGACTTGATCGTGCTGTTGTAGGGCGCATGATCCTTGAATCAAAGTTGAATCCTGTGCCGCGTCTCCGTATCGATGTTACCAGCTTCTATTAGACGACAAACATTCTGTCATTATGTTATCAATAGCGCTATTAAACGAATATTAAACAAATATATAACATTATTGAACGAATATATAATAGCGTTATTAAACGAATTAATTTCTGGATTCCGATGTAAAACATTCAACTTCGGTTGTAAATTTTGTGGTTATGCTCTCGTACGTCAAATTACATTGTCTCGTTAAATTAATACGTCAAATGGTTCAAACTTTGCCGGTAAACAGATATTTACTTAATTAAGGCCATAACGTCTCTATGATTATTATGTGTTGTGGCCAAAATGTACATTACGTTAAGCGTAATAAAATTAAAGTAACGTTATATTATTTTAAAAAAATTCTGATTTAACTCTATAGTGATAGTCGTTTATCTAAGCGACGTGAACATAACTACTCTATCAGTTATTGATTGAAGTCACTAATCTCATTGGTTCTAACGAGTCAATTGGTTAGAACTCAAACCCTACCCAGCCGAGACTCAAACCCACTAAGAAGTAACATGTTCTTTTGTGGCATCGCTAGATGGTACCAGATGGTCCGTTGCTCGCTCCGTACCGATCTAACGGGCGGACTGTTATTAGTTTGAAAATCTTCGCTGCGACAATTCAAGAGAAACTATCGAGGAATATGGATGAAGATAATTACAACTGACAAAAATGCTTAATGATTACAGGAATAACAAGCATTTGAAGAATTTAACTTTAATGAGCTTTATAAAATAATCGATATATTATCGAATATAAATGAAACAGATATTTTTCCTATAAACGTTCTTCATCGGACATGTCCTCCGTCGATTCATTCGTAAATTCCACTGTAAATACTGCTTTGCCGCAACGTCGTCTTTCTGCAATAAAAAGCAATAAAATCGTTCAGTTTTACATAAAATGTGCATTTCATCATATCGCAATTTACCTGCTCTTAAAAGAAGAAGTTGAGACTGTTTCAATATAGCCTCTTTTGATTTCTCTTCGTTCAAACCCAATAAAGGCCCACTGTACAATGCGATATTCGTTAAATAGTGATGGATAATACAGATTACATATATAAAGTGTCTGATAAAATAAATATTAATTAAATTAACTTTTTCGTTATGTTATGTATTACATTAAGTCAAAGGATACAGATTTATAATATCGTAAGGGTTTCTAATACGATTGATATTATTTGCACCACTGGATATAATCACATTCTGTAACATAAACAAAAAGATATAAACTAATAAATATATACTAATAAATTTAATATCACACTTAAAGCTGTATTATCTGCCATCAATATTTTTTTAAAAAATACATACGTGTATTAAGTATTTTATATAAGAAAATTGGATATCTAACATACATAGTGTATATTAAATACTCACTCTGCTCTTCCCATAGGAGTAAAACAAATGAGAATAATAAATAGCCATTTTGCGTGTTTCTGGTTGTAAAAGATCTGCATATTGTATCTCAAAAGATAAGCCTCTTTCTACTGCCTGTTGATATAGCTTTCTATTCATCTTGATACCAGAAACTGATGGCCTTATTGTAATCAAATCCGCATTTATTTGTGAACACGCAAACTATCCAAGAAAAGCAAAATAGATATAATATGGTAATACAATGATTAAAAATATTAAGGGATGAATGTATGGCTACAATTCAGAAATAAACATATATTTTTATATATACTAACCTGTAACATAGATTGACTATTTGGCACAATCGCATACAAGTTATATTTCTTTAGACTTGCACAATGTGCCTATAATAATAAAAGAATTATTCAATATCAACACGTGTCTTCTATTTAAAAAATTACATAACTAAAGCTTTATGAAATTTATCTTAAAGATATATGACAGATATATGACAGAAGTATATACATATATACATATTAATGTTGATAAAAAATATCTTATTAACATAGGAACATACCAGTGTATGTGTTTTCATTGAGTCAGAACAAACAAATGTTATCCTATTAAGTATACATAATTTTCCTTCAAACTCCTCATTTAATTTAGACACATCAATTGGATCTGGCACTGTGCTGGGCAGTTCTTTATTTTCATCACCGCCTTTTTTCTTCTTTTTTTTGTCAGTATCAAAAACATTTTCATTCACAATTTGATTCAATGCTACTGTCCTATAACCCACTAATATTAAATAAATAAGGTAAGGGAACTACTAGATTAAATTCTATTTTTTATTTCACAGTTAACTTACTTTGATATAATTTTAATAAAATACTCTTCAAGTAAACAGTATTTTTATCCGACACATTTATACATAAATCAAAGAATCCATTGCTCAGTTTAAAATCCATATCTGCAAGGTATAAATGATATAGATATAGGGCATAACTAAAGTAAATAATCAAACTTTTCAGGCACATCCCACTCATCTCCAAGACAATAAAAATCATTTAAATATCTTGATAATTGCTAGTTACACTGTTAAATGCTTAGGGCCGGTTGTTCCAGCCTCTTGGTAAGTTAACTGATTGTTAAATCATATGTCTGTCTTTATCTAAACTGAAGAAAAAACAAAGATGAACATATGATTTAACTATCAAGTTAACTTGACCAAGAAGTTGGAACAACCGCCTCTTAGAGACTGAGGGGGATAATTTTTGTATTTACTACAAAATTCATATTAATATAGAGATATTCAAAATAATAATTTAATTAAGAGTATTATTATCTATTTCTAAGAAGAAATAATAACAATCTAATAAACACATTCTTTACAAACTCTATCACAGAAACATAATCTTGTATCTCAGAAAGAAAGCATTTCTAATATTATGTTTATATAATAACTCATAATTTCTCAAGATGATGCTTTTAAAGTTTGATGCCCTATTTTAGTCACATCCTATATAACATATATATCACATGCGATGCAAATATAACACGTGCTGCATTTTATTACTACATAATAAACAATTCAATATTTCTTAGAAGCATATCAACGCAACCGAGATTTTTTCATTGATGATTTTTTCAAAATTCCATCGTAGTGACTATTAAATGAAACAGATTAAAACTGACTATTAGATAAATAACGACGTACTATATGTTTCTTTCTTTACTATGAAAACTACGAATTTTCCAATATAGGTTATCTACACGACCGAAGGACTTCGTCATACTGTTGAGTCGATCAGGCTCATGCGCTAAAGGCGCGGCTAAACGCGCGCAATTTGGATTTCGTTTAAATGCTAAAGTAAGTGCCCTCGAAACTCTCATCCTCGAAACTAAGTTCTTCGGTCCTTCACGAAGCTTAATTGCAACATAAACTTGGATACGAAATTGAACTGAATAAACTGTGTTACCCAAGAACGAACGAGTACAGAAATTACATAAGGAGTATATTAAGATCTTATTCGACATATAAATTAGAATGACATATGGTTGGCATGAATAGGTGAATAGTCATTAAGAATGATTGACTTGGCTAAAGCTATTCTTTTTTACACTCAACGCTCCGGAGGATGAGGTCAGGAATTGTATCATCAGCCGTTACACATCAAGCAAGATGAGAATCCTCGTTCTGTTACGTCACCTTTAATTGCCGAAATACAGATCACTTTCGCCAGTCTATCTGCTATTTGATTGAAGGATGCGCTTCTCCATTCTTTTCGAATGGAGAAATATAACCTTGTGTATTTGAACTCATTTCGAGAAGAACCATATAAAAGCCAAGATCATTTTTTGATTCGACACAATCCGAAACGGCTTTGTCGGCTGAAGATACCAAACCAAGTCTAAACATGGTGTTCAAGCTGGGACTCGTCTTGACCTTCGCTTTTGCAAGCTGCATGGTACGTATCAAAGTATATGCATTAATTACTTGTTAAGTTAAGCATTATAAATCATAGTGTAAAGTGAATTGTAACAATGACTATCTCAGATCATTATGAGCCTTGGCCAAAAATTTGAGTTTTATAACAGTTCCACTATCGCCATTAATAATCAGCTTGAAATTAAAAACCTGTTAAAATCGAATGAGTGCTAACGAAACCAATTGTTTATTTTTAACGTTCAATTAACCAGAGAATTAAAGAGAAAAAATTGTAGAAATTAAAATTCAATTGCACGTTATGCCAACCAAAGAATGTCAACGTTCTATTATTTCCACTAGCAACACAGCAGATTAAAATAAATTGAAAAATTCAGTTGTCCTTAAGTCCTACCCGAATAAATCCAACTATGGAACCTGCAAGAATAAATCAATTTACCTGTAAAAAAAATCTCTGGCATATTCTCTCGATAAATCTTTAATATAATTCAGAGACTCTATAAAAAGCAACTTTACATTTTTCATAAAACGACTGAATCATGATCCATATATATGTACGTATATACAGAAAATTGTATTTAATATTTATCGATATGCAGGCGCACGAGGGATATCCGAATGCGCGGCCCAGTGAGCAGTTGTCCTACGAGCAAGGATACAACCATCAGGACCCGCACGACCAATTGGGCGGCGACGAAATATCCGGGGTGGCCGGCAAAGATTATCCGGTCTTCCGCGAAGTTCCGCAAACGCGGTTCGAGTGCGAGCAACAGCAATATCCAGGGTATTACGCCGACCCTGAGGCCGAATGTCAGGCTTTTCATATCTGTCAACGCGGTGGCCGTAAGGACTCGTTCCTTTGTCCGAACGGCACGTTATTCAATCAGGCGAGACTGGTCTGCGAGTGGTGGTACAACGTGGATTGCTCTCGCGCGCCAAGTTTCTACTCCATTAACGAGGTGGTTGCAAAAGCAATGGAGGAAGCTGATAGGTGAGCACGCATTATGTAACGAATTGTTCAAAATACCTACTGTGCGTCTGCGCAGCATTCGCATGCACGATCTTACGTAATCAGGCCGTCCTCTTATCTGCGCTATGCCACGCTAAAACATGCGAAAAATCTTGCGGCAATAGGCCCGCAACGCCATACGCCGACGCGATCCAGATGAATTCTTTCACAATCCAATCGGACGATAAAGTCACGCGACTCGTCAATTATAACGGGCGGGAACCATTTTCGTGTTCGTGCAGCAGCAGCAGCGATTCAAGCCCTTTGACTCTCCTCACTTTCGGATTTCGCCTAAGACTGCAGTCTGAAATTAAACGGTCGAAAAATCGACGGATGGAAATTCTGAGCGCCTGAACTCCGCGCGAATGTTCCAGTTGTGAGATTGTTCCGATTGGTCGATCGTCAACCTTAGAAGCTGATCGTTTGCACGAAATAACTATATTTGTCAGATTTGCTTTCCTTCAACTCCCTCCAAGCCAAACTGTCGATGAAAAAGTAAAATTGTAAATCGTAAAAATGTTTCTCCATAGGAATTAAAAAATAATGTTAAAAATGTTCAAACCGCGCAGCAAAATCAGTTTTCTGCCTAACGCGTATGTTATTAATTTATTAATCTGCTTTCATCGAGTTTCTCGTCCGGTCCCTATTTTTCCCAACGCCAACGGAAAATTTCCTTCGACTTGCTCGGAGCCAAACTGTCGATGAAAAAATAAAACTAAATTGAGATATTTTTCCATAGGAATTAAAAAATAAGGTTAAAAATGTTCAAGCCGTTCAACAAAATTAGTTTTCTGCCTAACGCGTATGTTACTAACTTATTAATCTGCTTTCATCAAGTTTCTCGTCCGGTCCCTATTTTTCCCAACGCCAACGGAAAATTTCCTTCAACTTGCTCGGAGCCAAACTGTCGATGAAAAAATAAAACTAAATTGTTGAGATGTTTTCCCATAGGAATTAAAAAATAATGTTAAAAATGTTCAAGCCGTTCAACAAAATTAGTTTTCTGCCTAACGCGTATGTTACTAACTTATTAATCTGTTTCTATCTTATTCTGTTTTTATGTTACTAACTTATTAATCTGTTTTTATCGAGTTTCTCGTCTGGTCCCTATTTTTTCCGATGCTAACGAAAAATTCAGTCACACACCGACAGAGCTGCAGTAACGTGCGGTAATAATCTTAGCTTCCCTGTTAGTGTCATAAATTTTGCCTCGAGTACTCCGTGTAGATCGTTGCACTTGGAATTTTCGCAAAGTTTCACCGTTTATCTCATAACACAAATTTTATGACGCAGGCTCATCCGACTGGCCGCCGAGGAGAAGCTCTCCCGAGGCTACCAGCGTGAATCTAACGTCAATTCCGGCTATTGGAATCAACACAATCAGCAGGACGTGAAGCAAGGATGGAACGACATCCCGGCTCGACACAATCCAATGTCTAACTTTGCCAAGGACCTCCCTTACGACGCACTCACGACGTCGACCAGTCCCGTTTACGGCGCGCCTGAATTCGCCGCTAAATCTCTGCCGGACGCGAACAATCATGGAAATTCTTACCCGCCGGAACAGAATTACGTGATCACCGACGCTAAATTTGGCAAGCAATCGACAAGGAACAACAACTTCGCGGAACCAGCGAACGTTTACCTGCCTGCCTAATCGATATTCGGCCGATTCGAATTTCCAACATGTCGCACGTAATGTCATATAACCGAGGAACACGTAAAATTTGGAAAATATATTCAAAAGATGTATGTAATTACGTATAAATTAATTGTAACAATAAATTCACTTTTTCAATTAAAAAAGTATGTCACTTCTAAAATATTCCAAAGATACCATGGTTGCACGTGAAATGTAATAAATTGTAGCGAGAGGTTCGCTCTTTAACAAATCATGCACGTTGCACGATGAATGAAAATATTCTCACGCCTAAATGAATCCTTATGACGCCTATGGAAAGTAACAGTCTAATGTAAGCGCGATGGACTTGTGCAACCGTAAAACTTCAACAGAGAGGATCCTCAGGATTCTGCCGCTCCAGTTAACAGCCGCAGAGCCGTGCTTGTGCTGCAAGTCGTGCTCTTTGGTCTCTGTCGTTTCACATAATGTATTCAGCGATACGCAAAACTATAAATAATCACGCCTGAAAATAACAGCGAGCAACTGTCGGGGTGTCGAGTCTTTACTTTAAATCTCTGGGAAATTGTCTCGGTTTCTCCTCTCTTCTGGATTGAGCTATTCCTACGAAACGGAGAAACGCTTTCATGGAATTGTCATCGAGGTGAAACTAAAAAAATAATATTCATTGATAACATAATTTAAAAATAATATTCAAGGTTCATGCAATCTCAAGCGGTTGCACCGAGAAGAAGAAGATCTCGCTTCGTGAAACTGAGCAGAAAGCGGACGAAAATTCGGTAATGATGAAGAACGATATCTCGCAATCGAAAATATTCGCCTGAGTGTTTAGCTGCGCTCAAACTCGGCCAAGATAATTACAGACTGTTGAAACAGTGATTAAAAACCTCCGGCAGGTCTCTCTCTCTCTCTCTCTCTCTCTCTCTCTCTCTCTCTCTCTCCCCCTCCCTCCCTCTCTCAGTACAACCGAATTGCACAGCAACGAAATTTTCTTTTCCGCAAAATCTCGCTGCAGTGACTGTAAGAATTGATACATCGCGTGCCGAGCAACCTCCTCGTCTTGGATTTCTTCGCGTTCGGCGTAAGTGGATGAGACTCTTCAGCTCCGAAGAATCCGTTTATCCAGTCGCCAATTGTGCCTGCGTCGTGTTGCGCGGCCGAGCTACATTAAAGACAGCCTTAGCTCATAATATCACGATTTATGGACGAAGGGAGCTGATCTCCCGCTCTCATCGCTCTCGCTGTGCGATAAAAACGTGCGATGAATAAGTGCTGACGCAAACGGCGCACACGGACGCGCTGTCTCCGCGTCTTTGATATTTCCCGGATTCTGCGCGAAAAAACACTTGGGCGAGAACACTCGGCGGGGCGGCTCGCGCGAAACGAGACCGATTTTCTCAATGCGATATCTGTCCATTACATCTCGCGCTTGATCGGCCGCTGATTCAGCCGTCACGAACATCCGCGCGAAGGTCATCCGTGACTCGCGAGGTGGGCGCATCCCCTATCTTACGTATAATATTCTCACGGCTCCCAACTGGGATCTCTTCAACTCGTGGACTTCGTACGGGCTGCAATCGCGTGCCGCAGACGCAGCGCAGACGTTGGTCGTCGGTTGTGATACGCAACACGCCGACGCGATCGCGCGAAATCTCGACGTTTTAATTAATATTCGCGCATACGCCTCTCGATTCGCACGCGCGCATACGCAATGCGCACGTGAGCGACGTCAATCAGCAGGATGGATCTCGGCGACCTTGATCGAACGTCTCGTTCTTATATGCAGGAAATTGCGCACCATGCACGCCTGCTTGCGATCGGAAAGTTGCTGAAAAAAAAAAAAATGAGAGCCTCGTTAGAGAACGGCGAAAGCGAGAAGAGCGCGCGAAACGTGTTAACACGCTGCGGATAATAGAAGTTATAAGAGCAATTAGTTGAACGCGTAACTGCTAAAGACAGTTGTTAACCATTTGTTCAAGCAGTGGGGCAAGGTCGGCCGTTGAGCTCGCCGAATGCAAGATAAGTAAGGTAATTTCTTGAATAGAGCGACACTCCACGTCGTAGCTGATTTTTAATTAGCAACGCGCAATGATATATAGTCATTCAATGGACCGTTATGACGAAACGTTATGATGAACGTCTGCCAGAAAATTCTTATCGACTCGAATGCACTTTTGCTGATGAAGCGGGGAGAACGTTATTAATATATTTTGCTGACGCGTTGAATATCAAAACCTGAAGAATGCGGAAGAACTCCCCGGAAGAAACAAGTATTCGTGAGAAGGCAGAAAAACTTGTTTCCTTCCTTCTCTATCTTACTATATTTTCATCCACGAAGTCTCACCCCGTGTGAATGATTCTCATAAATAGCAAGGTTTTCACCGATTATCGCATAGTCCAATTATCGATTTTCCTCCTCGGTTATTGCGAAATTCAATCAATGACTCTGCAATTATGAGTCCGTATAATAATAAGCCGACAAGTACGATCATGACGCGATTGGTACAGTATAAAGGAATTATGAAGAATAAAGTGCACGGGGGATGAGACAAGGACGACTCGTTTTCCTCCGCGCGAACCGTCATCCGCCTCACTGATGTAATGCAATTCAGTCAGAAGAAAGAGACGGTCGTTGATAATTCAGACCTTTCCGCTTTATTCGCCCTGATTTTGACGAAGCTTAATGGCACACGAACATTTGAATGCACTCGGCATTGCCCCGAGTTCTCACGCTGTATGTCGTAATTGCAATCTTTTCAGGGATTAATGTGATTGATTTGTTGCGGTAAATCAGCCGGGGATTTTGTAACGCCCTCTCCACAGGTAAGCATCATTACCTTCGTCCCTTCTTTTATTATAATGGAAATTATTTATCGACGGGACAAAATGGCCTAACCGTTTCTTCTCACTTGAGAACTCGAGCGGATCGTGAGACAGTTGTCGATGTTATACATAATACAATCAACGCATTCCAGGCATATCGCGCGAGGGAACCGAGAGCGCGGCGCGGAATTGAAGTCTCGCGCGCGTGAGAACAAATTTGATGTAATTATCGCGGAGAGGCACATTATGTCGTCTCGCGGGGAAGAGCGTCATATAGAAATTCCAAGCTAACCGTACTTATAGATTTCTTTTTCCCGTGCGTTCATGCGTCGTAATAAAATAGATTAAGCAACGTGTTACGCGAGTGACCTCTCGCTAGGACTGTTTATTGTTAATACCAACGACGAATTACCTCGAATTACCTCGAATAATGTTACCAACGCGAAGAGATTACTTTGCTCTTTCTTTCTTGAAATTTTAAGCGAGTAAAATAAATGTCCCAGTAATCGGACGTTTAGCACGTCACAAGAAATACAATGTATAATATTAAGAATAGTTTTGATATGAATATTTGCATTTATTCGAAAACTTAAGATTCCCTCAAGTAGAGAAAAATGATTTAAACCAATGTATATGTCTATTATTAATGAAATATTTACAATGTCCGGATATATTTGTCCCACAGTGTCTGACCGCAATTAAAAAATTAATATGTGCTAATGGGAAGTAATATAAATATAGATGCTACCTCCTAATGAATTTATTAACGATTGATCATTATTTTGCCAGGACATAGGGGGATGCATACTTATTTAATTATTTTTTATTTTAATACATCACAATACATTACAATTATCTTTTATTACAATTACTTTTTTATTTTCTATTATTTATTTATTACATTACAATACATTACAATTATTTCGATACAAAGGTATCGAAGTAGATATATTTTTTTCCAACTAACTGTTAGATATTGGAATTCTTTTTTCTTACAATAATTATTACTTTTATTCATTATTGTTAAAATAAATAGTAAATATTTTTTTTCAAGGTGCTCGGATACTGGGACGTGTCCGGCCATTGGGACATTTACCTCACTTCGTAACCTTACTTCGTACTGACGAGAGCGCAAACGCGTTACGTTCGGAGATATACGTTACGTCGTGTGGGAATGATTGAGATTATAATTGTTTCATCGATTTATACGTTCGCCGCAATGTCTTATCCGTCACAGCGGAGAGTGACGAACGCATTGGACATTGCCGTCATAGATTATCATAATCGTGCTTTCATTCTTTTTTTATGTTTCAAGGATTTGTGTATGTTTATCGTAACTGTTGGGGCTGTCGAGAAAAATCCCTAAAGTATATTCATAAATCACAGATGATCTCCGATAGATCCAGTCTCTCCCGCTAGACTTCATTAACGATTAGTTCTAAAGGAGCGGGCGGTTTCGCAATGCGCGGATTGATTATCGCAATCGTATTAAATCGCCGATGGATTTCTCGCGCACGGCGGAGACGCTAATACGATTACAGTTGGAGCCTTTCTATGGACGACGAGGAGATCATTGACGGATATTGCAAGCTATCGTATCGACATCCTCTCTCCCAAGAGCGAGGATAAGGATCTCCGCGAATTTGTCGAGATTCATCTCGATAATGTTGCGGTCATCGGTTCCTTTCAGCCGGAACTCGTACGAAGTGACTCTCGCTCGGCAGTTTGTTTGCATCTCCCCTTCCTTTTTCTTCGTTACACAGAATTTCCCAACGAGGATGTTCGGACTACTCAGGACTACTCCTCCGCAAGTGGGCAATTATAGATAAAATTAATTTACGAGTCTTTGATGTATAAAAAGTCCTTAGCGCCGCGAGTTGTTAGATCCTACACTACGATACGAAGTAAACCGACTCGCGCAGCCGAGATCGATTCAAGGAGAGCGAGAAGGAAGAAGATACTCGCCGTAAGACTTCACACACATCCAAGATCCCCTCGTAGTATCGTAAATCTCATCGTGCATTGTAGCGCGGTACTGAAGCCCGATTTATATGTGAAGTGAATTGATAATTTTGCCGCGCGATCAGCTGCTTCGATCGTGCATTATTACGTGCCTCATCTCTCTGTGCCTCGGGACTTGACATACCAGTCAGTTCTGACATACCAGCGGCTCCACGCCGACAGGTACGTCAGTGGCGAGACTTCCGTTGTCGATAATTCGGCTCGAACGCAGAGGTGTTCCGAGATGGTTTTAGACTCGACATTGTTAAATAGCATCGACCTTCCGCAGCGATCTTCCGCAAAAGCCGAGGTGCCGTATTGGAAGTGAAAAAGAGCGAGAGAGACGGAGGGAGGGAGGGAAGAGAGCAGGAAACCGGAAAAAATGTTGCCGTGCCCTAAATGGGACAGACGCGAAAGAGGAGAGAGAAAGAGAGAGAGAGAGAGAGAGAGAGAGAGAGGGCACACGTACGTTCGATCGCGAACGATATTATACGGCGGGATTAGAAGGAACCGGCCCGCGATTACGCGATGCAGCTTCGATAGTGGCTCGCTTTTGTGTCTCACCGACAAGTGAGTTACGCGCCGAGCGTCTTTATGTCGCCCACGCGATGCAGTAACTCGCACTTTGCGGTGAAAGCACCCGCGAGGAGGACGTGCGAAGACTCGTCGTGTCACTACGTGGCCGATGATGATTACGCGATGATGCAGCTCGATTACGAATCCGAAACTGGGCGAGCAGAGAAAAAGTAGCTGCCTCTCGACGAAAGGCGAAACGCCGCGTCCGCACCGATCGAAGCGGATGTTGAGCCAAAATGTTTCATCCGAGTGAAGATGAATCGACGAAGTAAACAGCTGACTAGACAATTATTTCTTCGGAGAGAACCAGTCTGTAATTGGTCAAAATGTATGCGTATAAATTAAGAGCTGTATTCTCTACTCTCTTGTTAAGCTGCATCCTTCTTTAGCACAATATATCACATACAAGTGAATCCTTGTTAAAATGAAGCAACGCTTGCGAGATTTGTTCAGTTCGGCTTGTGTACTTCTGTTTATGAGGTAGGATGAGATTCTCTCAACCCGCCTAAAGATACCATTAAATTCGGCCGGCTCTTTTCTGTCAAGGTATAATCGAATCGTGATTTATTCTACGGCTCTCTCCCTCTCTCTCTTTCTCTCTCTCTCTCTCTCTCTCTCTCTCTCTCTTTCTTTCTCTCTACTGACGACTTCGTACAACCTCGACATATCGAATGGAAAACAAAGCGAATGAGTTCGCCGTTGCAAGAGCGTTTACGACCTCTTCCATCCCGCAGGGTATTATTTCCTGCAGCTTTTCTGATATCATGCATAATTTATTAGGGATCACATCTCAGTGATTAGGAAAGTTCAGAGGTAGAAATAATCCGACCTATGGCTGTACAAACACAATTGCTTCTGCAACAGCTTTCCTTACTACGGAATGCAATCTCGCCTCGAACGGGATTGTATAAATTCGAATACCTGGTGTTGTCGTAAGAGGACGACTTCTCACGTTGAAATCTACTTTTTTTAGCAGAGAATTACTTTTCAGAGCGATATAATTGAGAATATATATATATATATATATCTGTTATCACGACAAGACGTGTGTCTTCACGCTAGAATAATTTCTCTTTTTATTTATCGTATTCATCAGTATCGTCCTTATTTATATCTCGTGAAAAATGGTATTTTAACCGAACGAGTCCCATTCAAATGGAAATACAAACCGACATTAGCGATTTCTTTTTTTCCTTTTTTTTTTCTTTTAACTACCAATGCCACCAAATGAGTCGAGAAACGCAGATATATCCGAGAGAGAGAGAGAGAGAGAGAGAGAGAGAGAGAGAGAGAGAGAGAGATCTCCTCGATCGCGGCTCGATCTCTTCTTCCTCTGCATCTCGACGATCTTCATCGTCGGCTAGAGCAACGCGAAATACACAGCACGCTGGTAGACATTACTCTACTTGCAGTATTTCACTTTCACTAACCCCGGCCTCCCACGAGCTGCTCATCTCCGCGAGAGATCCCCCGCCGGCAGGGCCCCTTCCCCTCTGAAGAAGGCCCCCTTCGGCCCCGCAGCGGGTCACTTACGTCGTCGTGAGGTCGTTCCACGGATGGCGCACCGCTTATGGGTAGTGATGGGCCCGCGCTAGATCCGTCCCCGCTATTTCGGACCGAACCTGTCGATATTTACTTTAAGTAATCACTTAATGGCGGGTCGAGGAGAGACGAGGTCCAGGTCAGCCGGCACTCTTACTTTTAGACCCGGTCCATAACACACATTGCACCATAACGAGAGAACATAACGCATACGTAATTAAAGTACAACGAAACAATTAAGATACACGTTACATCCATATCGCACGCGTTCGATAACAAAATTCCCCGAATCACGTCGCGTTAACATAAACAGCCTGTAGTTAGTAGTAGCGACGCCCGTGAAATTCCGGTGAGATTCGCCGCAGGCGTATTGATCATCAGCGAGGAAGGCGCCGAACACGCAACAATAATATTTGAGATTTATACCCAGCTACTTCTTCACGAGAGGCGCAATCTGTTGTCAGCGCAGAAAAAGTGACACGAAATTCCCTTCCTGGCCTGACGGACAGAAGGGGTCAGCGCGGAGACGTCGCGTCCTCGTCTCTCCCACGGTTTCCAGGAGCGCGGACGATCCGCGCGAAAGGATCAATCCCATCGCTATTCGCGGTTTCGCGTGCTTCCCCACCTCCGGGCGTCCCGGGAGGAACAGAGGAAAAAAGGGGGCTCGATCTGGAGGAGGTCGAAGGATGAGCGCGCGAGCATCCCTGGTGGGGGCGTATCAACACTCGGGGTGCTATCCAAGGATATATATGCCGACCAAGTTACTTCCACCATCAGTCACTGTCCTGACTTACCTGCACTGCGGTGTGTTTTGTACGTACGGATCGGTCGGGTGAGTCCACGACACGACACTTCATCCCCCTAAGACCCACCGTTCTCGCGCGTCTTCGCTCGTCCGCAAGTTTTCTCGCGTCTGTCGCGCCAATTGCCGACTCTTTTTCGGACCAGTGCTTTTTATCTCCCTCTCTCTCTCTCTCTCTCTCTATTTTTCTCTCTTTCGCGCTCTTTCTCGGCCCAGGGACGTTTGACTTCTCTCTCTCGTTTTTCTCTTGTTTTTCGTTCCTTTCTCCGTGTGCATCTTCAACGTGGCACCGATAACACGCACGAATGACTCGACGAAGGTTTCGCAGCTCGCTGCGCAACGCGCGCGCAGGGGTTCGGACGATCGCAGTGTTTTGAAGTAATACGGTCAGTGAGTTCCATTCGAGCGTACCTCCAAGTTCCATTTTCTGTATTTTGTAAATATGATTAATACATCACCCCCGTGGGAGATCCCGTGCGGAAACGGACGGTGTGAGCTGCGACAGCGGTACACGCGTATAATCAACGGAAAGGAATCGATACTCGAGTTATCGTAATCATGAAACACGCTTGGGAAACGCCAAAATTTGCCCTCTTCAGCATGGTGACGTTAACATACGGTTCCCGGCGGTATTTTTACGGTCTCACGGTAGTACGCAACCGAGTCGATGTTCGATGTCGGATTTTTACACGCAAGTCCGCTTAACATTTCTCAACTACCCGCGGATTTCTCACTGACAACTTTTTACTATTATTAATTTCCATTGAGGGAACATCTTTCACGATTCTATCTGTGTCCGCGCTGTGTCTCGATCCCGGCGTCCGTGTCATTTGCGCAGAGAGTTTCAATGGCGCGCGATGATTCGCATGAAAATCTGTGAAAATGCATCTCCCGGCGTCGACATTTTGTCATCTCACGCGAACGTGATTTTCAAAGTTGCGCTAATAACTCGTTATCACACGTTGCCGCGCATGTGGAAGAAATAATGTATCGGCGATCGCGTTGCTCTTTTTCAGACTCGCCCGCTCTTTTGGGGGTGCTCGCGCCAGCAAATATGCGGCCACGCTTGCTCTGGATCGGTAAGACCTGACTGATATTGATTGAGATATCGAGCGCGTCCCGCGCGGCACACGGCTTCATCTCATACAATCATCCGATGTGGTAATCGAGTTATTACGTTATAACATCGCTCTCGGGTAAGCACACGGGTCGAGCGGAGGGCGGGGGAGGAGGGGGGGGGGAGGGGAGGCAGGAGCTAACGAAGGGAAAAAGGAAAAAAGCGACGACGCACAAGAAATCCACCACGCGGCAGTGTCGGTCGGTTTTCCTGCGGAGAAAACAGAAAGATTAGCGCGCAGGCAGAGATTGCAGTGTCGAGGATAGGAAAAGAAAGTTTGCAATCTGTGACGTGTCCCAGCAGCGGCAAGTACAACCTTCGTCTCGATAATCGAAGGAGATGAAATGTCCCCAAGCTGATTGTTAGGCAATTCCACGCGGCGACTTTACCCGGCGTCCGTCGAATTATCGTGCCGTATAAGTTCTCTCACCTATTACGCGCCACGTAATCAATATGGCATGCTTTGACAATGCTCTCGGGCGCTGCTCGCTGCGGCAGCTGTAGATTATTTAACGGAAAACGAATCACGGTTGGCCGTCGCAATCGCGAACGTGACAGCATGCTCTGCCGGCATCTCGGTCTCAGATGCGTATTAGATAGGCCTGGCGAAACAAAGAGGACCTCATACTCTCTTTCTTGCGGAATCTTTGTCGCCTCGTTGTCTCGTGCACATTTGCAGAATAATGTTCCCTCTTTTTTTTCCGAAAGGACAGACAATGTGCGTCTGTCCGACTTATATAATTATCATTTGAATATAATAGCCGAGTGCGCGCGGAGAGACACAATTTTTCGTTATTTTCTTTTTTTTTCTTTTTTTCGCCAGATGGTTCTTCTCGGGAAATGTAATATCTCGGGTTGTAATATAAGCGGAATTTTGATCATTCCCGTGGAATTCACAGTGACACGTTTCAACATCTCGATTTGTAACACGGCGGGCCTCAAATTTCGACCGGAAACTTCTCGCGCAAGGTCTACGACATTTTTTCGTAACATCCTCTAATTAAAACGAATTCGAGATAAGCGCGCGCGCCGCCGCCGCCGCCGCCGCCGACTGGTATTGTTTTCCAGCGCACTTTTACGTATTACGGGGTCACCCTTTACGCTTACGATCATCCGTACTTAAAATAAAGGTCAAGTGTATGCAGCGTGCCGTGTTAGCGCAACTGTTATCGCCTTCCTTTTTCTCGTGAATCTCCAAAACGGACAAGCGCCAACGCGGAGATCGCGAATGCGAATGAGAAGAGCGGGCTTCCGGCTGGAAACGAAGGAATGTCCGAGAATCTGTCCGTTCGCTGTCGAATCACCGGGAAAACCCGCGAGAAGCGAACGTGTTCCGCCGCGCCGGTCTTGCGGAAAATGCGCAGATCTTTCCTGCGAGCGAGGGAGACGCCGAAATGCACAAATCCGCGCAGAAATTCGGAGATACGACCCAAGTTAACGGGTCAAGTTGAGCCGTTTCCGCTGTGCAGCTTCCCCTCGGGCAAGTTACGTCAATACTCTGACGCGATCGTGCAATGCTAGTGTAACCACGTAACGGTCAAAGATCCTCTCGAACGATGCATCGAGTACCGTGCTCGGATTATCTTCGTAGATCACGCGAGGCTCGGCCGCATCTTGATCTCCGTCCCATTGTTTCGAGGTAACCAAAACCGAGGCTATCAACCGGCAACAGGAAGATGTAGGGATAATGGCGCGGCGATATTGTTGTACCTGAGATAGCCTTTTGGTGGAAGTGTGTGCGGCGTGGCGGTTATGCTGTAGCAAAAGGGAAAAAGCGCTGGCAAAATGATTTCCAACGGCCCCCACGTGCGCGGCACGTTGACGAGGATACGCAAACGAGGTTCTTCTGCTACTGCAGTTACGCTTAAGGGACTTGGAGAGTCAGATTGCTGAAACATCGTGCTTGTTTTCGATAATATTTTGTGACGAGCTGAATAAATGTGCAAGAATGAAAATTTTAGGTACAGTTATACAACATACGAAGAATAGAAAAATTTTGTTTATCAACAAATACTCATACAAATACACGATATATATAGCTGAAATATACTCTCCTTTTTTTTTCAAGTTGTCGTTTTTATGTCGCAGTAATAATCTCGGCTCTCAATGATCCGATCAGAGCGAATTTTAGCTAGAAATCTTAAGGAGGCTTATTATTATCCGGTAAACCACTACAAAAAAAAAAATCGAACGAAATTGGCAGCTATTATTAGGAAAAAACTATTGTTAAGAAAAAATCCAAATTTTTCAGTTCTTTTATAATAAAAAATTAATATCTGGAAATAAAGTATTTTGACATAATTGTCCATGGTTCATCCGAGAGCCAGATGAACAAATATTATTGCTTTAAAATTTCAAATCGATACGAAGCTCAATTTCGGAGAAATCATTGCAAACAATAATCGAACGATAAAAACGCGTTTCGAGAAAAACGCGTTTAAAATTTAAGTGGAAGTATATCTATATGAGTATTTGTTAATAAACAAAATTTTTCCACTCTTCATATGTTATATAAATATATCAAAAATTTTCATTCTTGCACATTTATTCAGTTCGTCACAAAATATTATCAAAAACAAGCACGATTTTTCTGTAATCTGACCCTCCAGTCCCCTAAACGGTTCGATTCGGTCTGCCGAAGTCGCCGCCGCAAAATTAGCCGCGTTCCTCGACGAAAAATCTGGAGTCGAATCGCAGCGACCGGCGGCAGTTTTGCCAGCGTCCGTCTTCCCCCGCCAACAGTGAGATTTGCAAATAAACGTTGCTAATCACTGGAACGTCGAGTGGCAATTCGCGGTTCTCTTGATACAAAATTCAGACTTGCCCTGCGGCAAGCGTGTCGCATTGTGTAAATGACTCGGGTTATTTCAATTATGAACGGCTGTCTCGCTTTATATTCCGCTAAATTTTCGCGATTAGCCGGGAAAATAGAAATGTTGCTCGGCGACACAGATTCGCCTGAATTACCTGCGTGGCGCGCGGCGCCAGCCGGTTATTATTTAAAGCGCGGAGGTCGTGTCAATCGTATTTGCCAAGTTCCGCTCATTAATCTACGTCCGAGGTAAAGTCACCATTAAATCTTAATCTATCAATGTCAAATCGACTCTGGACATATCAATGCCCAGCTCGCTTGATAATTACACCCAACCGCCGTGAATGATATTCCTCGTGATAACAGGAAAAACCAATCAAGATTTTTACAATTCATCCCGCCACACTTCCTTTCGCGTCGTTTCCACGTCATTTGCTAAAGCCGTTTCCGATAGTCACACACAGCTTGGACGTGTCGCGAGGTTGCCCAAGAGATTACAAGCGACTCGACGATAGTCACTTTTCAGTTTTCACAGTTAAAATGTATTAAAGATCCAAGAAACACGGCAGAGATTTCATCTCGACATCAACGCGATATCGACGTGAAATAATGATCGTGTCTCACACTCGAACGCAGCGGCGCGACGCGGCGCGCTCTGAAATATTATACTCGCGTGACAGGTATTTGCCAAACTCCCGGAGGAGAGCTTGAGATCGCAATCTCGATCTCCTCTCGCATGCCCAGCAACCAGACTTCTGTATCTGCTTAACAAGTAGCTTGCGTGATCCGCGGACCAGCATGACGGTGTCATTGCGAAAACGCGTACGGGAGTCTACAATTCTCGTGTAACACCACGCACTCCTGAGGCACGTTCGTGCCGCTCGCCTCTCTTCCTCTCTCCCTCGCTCTCTCTCTCTCTCTCTCTCTCTCTCTCTCTCTCCCTCTCTCTCCCCCTCTCTCTCTCTCTCTCTCTCTCGCTCACGCGCGCACGATCCTTCCCTACCACGCTCCTTGTCTCTCTTCATTTACGCTTTTTGATGCGATTTACGTACGGCCAAGCGTGCGAAGAACTCCCGGCTTCTCCGTGCCTACACTCTAAGCGCGCTCGACAATGCTCCTTAATTAATTAGACGGGAAGTTATGTCAGAGATTTTTCAAGACACATTTCTCTTGTGTGAGACTCGCACGCAACCTCCCGTCATCGCGACGAATTGCGCTGGTTGCCGGCGGCGCGGCGGCGGCTGAGCGTAGGCGGGCATTAAGTCTTTGACACTCGGGTTAATTGACGTCGCGGTAAAAATTCTCCTCGAGTGTAATGGTACTTTAATGAGATGGCCGTTGTCCAAGCGTGTCGTTTAAACATTCGCCGTGGTGTGTGGCCGAAAATAATACCGCCTTGTTTCCACTTGTTTCAGTTTTGCTGGTTGTCGCTCGTACGGCTTTGGTAAGTGACACCATACTTTGCTCACCGGTTGTATCGTTGAGAAGTCGACGACGATTTTAAGAGAAGAGCATTTTCCGCGAAACCTTTACATTCTTGCAAATATTTGTGCGATGTTGATAAAAGCGCGAGTTTTCTCACGAATCCGATTTAATATGCGGCCGCTCGGGCTGCTCACACTCAATCTCGTACGAATTCGTTTCGAGTACGTTTCGTGCTCACTTTCTGCTTATCCTTAAGCAGCGTGTCAGCTCTGCATAAATCAACGCGATGCGGTAAATTTAATTTTTCGCGATCAACACATCTTACTCCCCCTTTGGCGTCTTGCAAAATAGCATTTTCGGTTGCGCAAGTTTAAGCACTCTCATATTAATCGGTCGTGACTGCGCTGTTGTAACCTGCACGATCACAATGATCGAGAGTACGAAGACGCTCCTTCGGACATTTCCACGAGCACGATTCCTGCGATGTCGGAATCCATAAATCTGATATAATTAATCGTTCAAGGGTATCGCGATCCCAACGGATGGTACAACGTTACACGATACCGAACACAGTAACTCGTGACATAGTAACTCTACAACAAACAGAATGCACACAATGTTGAATCAATGAGTATTACTTTTATCTTATCAATATATCACTTAAACTGCAATCAAAATATCAATTTGGGCATCAAATATCCCGACAATAAAATTACGTGAATCCATTTTCTCAAAGAAAGCTTTATGAAATTGATAACAGACTCAACTTGTATGTATTTATCGAGCGACTCTGCGAATATTTTATTCAATCTTATAGGCTGACGAGGGCTATGATTATCCCAGACCATCAAAACCGTTTATACCAGGTGGCCCGGGTGGAGGTCCCGGTACTGGAGGATTTCCAAGTCCACCCGGTGGATATCCATCGGGCGGTGCACCTGGTGTCCCCGGGGGTCCTGGTGAACCTGGCGGACCTGGAAAACCTGGAGGTTTCCCGGGTGGCGGACCAGGACCATCGGGCTTTCCAGGTGGACGTCCAGGAGGTACTCAACCGGGTGGGCAACAACCCGGGGGATTTCCATCGGGCCAAGGACCTTCTGGTGGTTACCCAAGTGGACGACCCTCTATTCCATTTCCGAGCGGTGAACCGACAGGTGGCGGATATCCTGGTAGCCGACCTGGTGGCCAAAGACCAGGGAGCTTTCCCTCAGGTCAAGGACCAAGCGGAGGTTATCCCGGCGGACAAGCTCCTGGAGGTTATCCCGGTGGAGAGCAGAAGCCTAGTGGGCCGGGAGGTGGATATCCTGGTAGAGAGCCAGGCGCTGGTTATCCAGGAGGTGCTCAGAGACCTGGCGGTGGTACAGGTCCTCAGGGACCAGGCGGGTATCCAGGTCCAGGAGGACCAAGCGGCCCTCAAGGTCCTGGAGGTCAGCAAGGCCCAGGTGGAACATCTACCGGTGGTTACCCTGGTACTAGACCAGGTTCTCAAGGGCCAGGAGGCTATCCAAGTGGGCCAGGTACATAAAAATCGTATAGAGAACAAAGCTCTTTTAAATTAATATTCCAATGAGGATATACAGGGTGTCTCAGAACTTTGGAACACGAGCTCCGTAGGGACATAGGGCTAAGTGAGAGGAACAAAAGAGTCCTCTACCATAATGTGAAAATCGTAATAGGTTTTTAGTAATAATCGCGTAAAGTTTGGTGTTTTCCATGCCCATCCACGGCCTATAGACGCTCCGCGGCAAGCTGTGTACGTAGGGACTGAGCGATAACGCGTCTCGCGCTGTCTGTCACGATGGGGTGTTAGCGCTTTGACGCCGTGCGAGCCGTTCAACGCGAGCTGCGTTATCGCTCAACCCCCACGCACACAGCTTGCCGCGGAGCGTCTATGGGCCGTGGATGGGCGTGGAAAACGCCAAACTTTACGCGGTTATTACTAAAAAACTATTACGATTTTCACATTATGATAGAGGACTTTTCTGTTCCTCTCACTTAGCCCTATGTCCCTACGGAGCTCGTGTCCCAAAGTTCTGAGACACCCTGTATATGTTATATAAATTACAAAAATATCGTCAAAAATTGCTAATATTTCTAGCATTAGGTTATACTTCTTGATTGAAATATCAATTTATTTGGATCACACCAATGATGAAATATGTTTAAATTTAACAAAATATATTAAACCCAAAGAAATTATTCTTTATGTACAGGAACTCAAGGTCCAGGAGGTTATCCAAGTGGACCGGGAGCGCAAAAACCAGGAGGTTATCCAAGTGGTCCAAGACCACAGGGACCAGGGGGCTATCCAAGTGGACCCGGAACACAAAGACCAGGAGCACAGAAACCAGGCTATCCAAGTGGCCCAGGACCACAAGGACCAGGAGGCTATCCAAGTGGCCCAGGACCACAAGGACCAGGAGGCTATCCGAGTGGTCCGGGACCACAAGGGCCAGGAGGCTATCCGAGTGGTCCGGGACCACAAGGGCCAGGAGGCTATCCGAGTGGTCCGGGACCACAAGGGCCAGGAGGCTATCCAAGTGGTCCAGGACCACAAGGACCAGGAGGCTATCCAAGTGGCCCGGGACCACAAGGGCCAGGAGGCTATCCAAGTGGGCCAGCGACACAAAGACCAGGAACACAACGGCCGGGAGGTTATCCGAGTCCAGGATCACAAGGACCAGGAGGATATCCAAGTGGACAAGTTCCGCAAGGACCAGGCGGTTTCCCAAGTGGACCAGACACTGGTTTCCCTATAGGACCTGGAGGACCTGGTGGACCTGGAGGACCTGGAGGACCTGGTGGACCTGGAGGACCTGGGGGACATGGAGACACCGGAGAATATCACGGTGATGAAGGAACATACGACGAAGGAGATTACTCGGCTATTCCAGGAGAACCTGGTCGCGATTATCCTATATATAGTGATATTCCGGAGACCAGCTTCAGTTGCGATGCTCAACAATTCCCCGGTTATTACGCCGATGTGGAAGCTCAGTGTCAAGTTTTTCACATATGTGTCAACAATAAGACCTACGATTTCCTTTGTCCGAACGGAACAATCTTCCATCAGCAATTCTTTGTCTGTGTTTGGTGGAATCAATTCGATTGTAACTCCGCGCAAAGCTTTTACTACTTGAATGAAAATCTGTACGATTATAATATAATGGGAGCACCAGGCCAAGGATTCCCAGGAATTGAAGGACCATTAGGGCCTGCTGGACCTGGTACATATCCAGGGGGTCCAGGAGGCCCAAGAGGGCCAGGAGGTCCGAGTGGTCCAGGTGGACCAAGCGGCCCAGGTGGTCCAAGTGGTCCGGGTGGTCCAAGTGGTCCCAGCTATCCAGGTGGTCCGCAACATCCTGGAGGTTATCCAGAAGGACCGTCAGGCAGACCAAGCGGACCTGGTTTCCCAGGACGACCAGGAGGTCCATCTGGTCCAGGTTATCCTGGCCCAGGACCACAAGGTCCATCAGGCCCTGATTATCATGGTCCAGGACCGCAAGGTCCATCAGGTCCTGGTTATCCTGGTCCAGGACCGCAAGGTCCATCAGGTCCTGGTTATCCTGGTCCAGGACCGCAAGGTCCGTCAGGTCCTGGTTATCCTGGTCAAAGACCGCAAGGTCCATCAGGTCCTGGTTATCCTGGGCAAAGACCGCAAGGTCCATCAGGTCCTGGTTATCCTGGTCAAAGACCGCAAGGTCCATCAGGTCCTGGTTATCCTGGCCCAGGTCCATCAGGTCCAGGTTATCCTGGCCCAGGATCGCAGGGTCCATCTGGTCCCAGCAGGCCAGGACCCGGATATTTAAGTCCTCCGTCAGGACCGTCAGGACCTCAAGGCCCTCAAGGACCTCAAGGACCATCAAGACCTCAAGGCCCTCAAGGGCCAGGAGGATATCCTGGGAGACCTCAGGAACCATCGGGTCCTACCGGACCGACGAGACCTCAAGGACCGAGTGGTCCTGGCGGTTATCCGGGACCAAGCGGACCGTCTCCGGGATATCCAGGTAGTCAAGGATCTCAGGGACCAAGAGGACCGCAGGGTCCAGGTGCTTATCCGGGCCCAAGTGGACCCGGTGGTCGACCACAAGGACCTAGTGGACCAGAAGGATATCCTCCCAGCGGTAGACCAAGCGGTCCGTCATTCCCACCTGGACCAGGTGGACCGTCCGGACCAGGAGGTATCCCAGGAAAACCTCAAAATGGGTCACCTTTCCCGCCACAGGGCCCCTCAAAACCAGATCGTGAGTACTTGCCGCCAAGGGCTGGATAATCGTGAATCTAAACGCTCCAGCCGGTATCCAACAACGACTCCCACCGTTGTTAATGCTGGATGACACGTGTAAATACGAGCCTCTTTACCTGTGTAATCTAAGTGATATCGGTTATTCGCATTGCATTCACTTTTACGTATAGAGAATTCAACTATTCTGCTTGCGCGTTTATTCATCTTGAGGTTTCCGCGTTACCCAATTAAAAGTTTATATGATCAAGGTTATTTGTTTCACCCATATTTCACGCTCCAGGGAAATAAACTAGGAAAAGTATATTGTTTTACAAGAACATACACAAATTACATGGTGGATTCCTCTTCGTTTGATTTTTTATTAAACTTGAATGCGCTTCACTGCATTTGGCTTATTTTGAACATTATAATATTATGTTGAAAGCGAATGCAATCAATTCGACGGAAACCTTACGATGAAAGTATGAGTAAATAATATTAAGATACATACGCTGGATGTATTCGTCAATGTTTGATTCAACTCTACAAATTCAAGTATTACAAAATTAAGCACATTCGGTTTTTATCAATTATTGTTATATACAATATATATATACAATTGAACGTTACGCTGAAAGCCATTTCGTTATAATTGGCATCTATGTGTAGTAAAGAGACACTTATTGACGTTATTATTGGTAATGATATTATCAATTTTCAATACAGTAATTATAAAGATTATTAGAGTATCGTAATAATGCGCACAAATGAGCGTTGATGGATACATGCAGTTTTTAAGTATTACAACACGACGTATTTATTTATTCAGCTTTAATAAAAATATGAACGTTATCATTACGACTTTACTGTCAAAAAGAGACCAACCGGCCGTCATGCGGATGTCATCGATACACGGATTCTTGTACAATTAGAGTTATTAATTGAACCTAATTGAACGCTTGGAAGCATAATCAAACGTCACGCATATTTTAAGGCAATTTCCTGTCTTATACAAAGTGTCATATAATTGCACAATTTCAAGGCGATTACTTCGTCGCTCACGGTCTGTCAAGCGCAAAACCGCCAACACACACGCGCGCGCATACACACACAATGACATTTCTAACGATCTGTGCGACGTACATTGTTAGTTTGATCCGAGAGGGAGAGCTGCATGTGTATCTGTAAGATTACAAAATAGTATTCCTTAGGAAGTAATTTACGAACGAATTATAGAGATATGAAAATTTCCACGGCGGAGCTAATCTTCTTCATAGGAACATTGTACACGAGCACTACCGCGAGACATGTAATATGTCGGACGTAACCTTCCGACAGACGTAGCCTGACTATCGATTCCGATCAAATTTCGCGTCCATGGAAGCACCGTGTCCGGTGCACACGCGCTATTCTAATTGTTACACGCTAGCGCGTTCAGAGAATAATCGCGTCCAGAGAGAGAATCCGATTTCCCGATTTAAACAGCATATCATTGTCATATACGTAGTTAAGCAACGCATGACATAATTATATATATATATATATATACACATATATATATATATATATATATATATATATACGCATATACATACATACTTATATATTTTTTATAACAATGGTTTGAGACTCCTACGTGGGATGCCATTATGTATATTTTATGCGCGAAATAAAGGAAACACCTTTGCAAGAATTATGTCGCGTCTCTATTCACTATACGTCGCGCGGGTTACTCAAACAGCCCGCGCCAGACGCGCCGGGCACACACGCGCGTTACTACATATCGCCTTTCCCTTTCCCCTCATTACTATAATTAGTCATTTGAAATTGTTCGCGTCGGAGGAGGTTACATAAATTCGTACGCGGTCTACGTGCGATCATCGTTTCGCGATTTATAGTTGCGTGGATTTCGCAAGCCTCCTCCACTGTCTCTCTACGCGCGTCTACCCGCGTCTATCCGCGCGCGGAGTCATTCGACGGGCAAATGATTTTGCGGATTCCCATGGCAGTGACGTTACGTTGCGGGTAAACGTTGCGAGAAACCGGCAACCCACCGCCGCGGCATTCTCGCGCGCGTCTCAAATTGTCTGACATAGGTAACCGGGTCGTACGAAATGCCTCATCCCGCTTTCCACGTAGCCGTCGCGCCCGTCGCCCGTCGCCCGTCGCCCGTCGGGATTGTCCTGAGCGGCGAAACGAGCGACTCGATCATCGCGCTCACGTCACGGCACTCTGGAGCTGGAAATAATGGAAGTAAGCGCGCAAGTAATCAAAAGCGCAAACATCGGCGAAACGACCGGCCGGCGCGTTACGCCCGCGTTATCGCGCGAATAATCGCCGCCGCGGTAGCTCCGCTAATGAAAGGAGCTGTTTAAGCCGAGCCAATTAAGCTTTGCTCTGGAAAACGTGACTTCGGGCGAGATAACGAAGGTCAGTGGGCTAATTAACTACGCGTGCAAATTAAGTACATAATTCGCGCCGCGCGCAATCGGTACAGGTGTGTTTTGATAACGAGAACCGCGAGCGGATTTTCCCGCGCGTCGCGCGCTGCGGAGCCGACCGAGCGACGCCGCTTACAGAGTGTGTCGTCGCTGTCGGGCAAGATAATGGATTACATTTTGATAGAAGGCGTTTTTTCTGTCCCGCTGAAGCTCCCGTCTCGCTTCGTGTCGATGAAAGCGATGCCGAGGCAGCGCGTCTCGCGACGCTGCGTACGAAATAAAACTACCGGCGCGGTGTCGCTCTTAGGAATTAAAAAAAAAAAAAGACATGTATGTATATTAACGGAATATGGCGTCGCGGTTGAGCAACGGAACGGCGGCCGATTGCTCCATGTACGCTACAAGAGGAAGATTCTCGTCTCGACATAATTCTCCTCCCGTCAAGAAATTGTTCGCTCGCAGCATCCTTGCGCCGCTCTTTCGACCTAAATTCATCCTTAACGATCATACAAACTCAATTTCCACCAAAGCCCTCTGTTGCATCGCCGATTGCAGGGGGAGACTTTGAGCTATCCTGAATTTCCACCAGGCGAGAAGAATAATCTCGGTTTGTGCAACGAGGAGCTCTCCTTCTGCTCCTGCGAGCGACGGATTAGCGTCTGGCGCTCGCGGACGAGGGAAAAAATCCGCTTACATCAACGGATTTGTTTCTTGCCCGATGCACGTGCCGTGTAACTCCGTACGAAATATATTGAGCAAGCAGCCGAGACCTACCTGGCCTATCTTGATCGGTCGGAAAAGCCCGCGTTGTCCGAACATCCCCCCCCCCCCGAGAAGACGAGAGGCAGCCTCCCGCCCTCGGCTGCCGTTACATTAAGAAGCAGTCGAAAGGTTAGCGGTAGAAAATGCATAGCGTAATACATTATGAGTCAGCTCATGAATACATAATGGGCGAATCCAGTGCGAAGCGCGAATTCGGTTTCGTCAGCGGGCTCTCGTCGCGAGAGAGACGAGGGAGACGGTCTCTCGCTCGCGCTTATTCGGTGCAGCGCCGGCAAGGCGATGGTCGTGCGAAAAATGTGGAAATTAATGAGAAGGCGCCGCGAGCGCGCGCGCACGCGCGCGCGCGCACCCTGCAAATTACGGCGCAACGTGGCGCAATGCAACCTTGAGCGGCACGCGGGCCGTCGACGCTCATGAAAAGTAGACCATTAGAGCGGCGGATAGTGACGGATCACCTGTTAACAGAGCTGACTTACGACTCGACCTTTCGCAGCTGGTCCGCCGATTCCGCCGTAGGCACGTATAGCCGCATCGCCCGGCGTTACCTTGTCTATTTTCGCAGCGAGTGAGCGCGCACATGTGCTGCGGCGTCTCTTTCACCTTCGCTCCTCCTCTCCCGGCCGCCATTAGCCCCGTACGTGCGGTTAATTGGCGTGCGTAATTGAGCTCGCCTATGCATAAAGGCAATAACTAGCGAATCAGTCAAGCTAAGTAAATCCTGTTCGGGACGATTATATCAAGATGCGCGGGATTTACCGCTGTATCTGTTGTCGGCGCCGCTCCGCTGAGCGCGTTTCGTCCCCCCGCGAAAAGTACATCGAGGACCGAGGCGCACTGCAAAAGAAATGCAGGGAGGCGAAGTTAAGTAAAAAGCGTAGCGAGGCGGAGCGAAGCAAAGAGCGCGGCAAAGTAAAAGCAATAGTCTGAGACGGACGGAATCAACTGTCTGAGAGATATGGAAGGAAACGCTACTCCTGAGCGTTTAGGGTATCCTCGCGAGATGGAGAGGAAACAGGAGTCCCTGAGTGAGCTGCACTTTAAGCGACGTGTGGATTGATCCCGCTCTCGCAGAATCGCGGAAACGCGTGCGTACGTAAGTTGGCAGGATGAAAAGCCGACTCTCTCTCTCTCTCTCTCTCTCTCTCTCTCTCTTTCTCTCGGTTATCCGCTCGGCGCCCCGACGCTTTTGAGACCGAGGCGAAAAATATCAGCGCGTAATTGCGGCCTGACACTCGTCCGTCGCGAGTGGGACTTTACAGAATTAATAGGCCTTGCGTAACGCACGCAGCCGCACGCAGCTCAAAACGCAATCTTTTTTGCAATTTGCCCCTCGCAAACTGCGCGCGGGCTGCGCATCGCCCGATAGGCACGCCGAACAGAGAGAGAGAGAGAGAGAGAGAGAGGGGGGGGGGACGCGGTGATGACGAAATTTGTCAGCTCTTCAACTACCGGCTGCATTATTACATCTCCGTGATACGATACGGACGATGAAACTCGCTGTCACGGGAAATAGGACGAAAAACGGCGGGCGCAGCAGATGGCAGCGCGCGGCCGATATTGCGAGGCGCGCGATTTATGCAATTCCCGTAGACTGTAAATTGCAAATGACCACGTACTACAAGGAGGAGAGTGGGAGGCAGGGAGGAGGAGGAGGAGGAGGAGGGGGGGGGAGGAGAGCAACTCTCGGTTAAGGCAACTGGCCGTTGTAAATTTTGCGAATCGCAGAGCGACGCCGACGGAGCGACATTTGGCCTGCGGCCGTCGCCGTCGCAATCGACCGGGTTCGCTTCTCTCCTCCTCTCCTCCCTTTTTCTCGCCCCCCCTTTCCCACCTGCCGTAGGCGCGACAGGAGTAAAAACGCGCGCGTTGCACGAGGATGCGCCGTTGCGCAAGCCGCGCGGCCCAATCATCGCGGATAATGACGCACTGACCTCCCGGTTACGGATTCCCCCGTGCGAGACCGTCCACTCGAGACGGCCGAGGAGATTTTCCTCCGCTCGGAACGAGCCATAATACCGGCATTTTGTTAGGCTGAGAGTCACTTGGTAGTCGGCGACATTAATCTGCCGTGCGTGCGACGACTCAGCGCGGCTCCAAGTAAACGCGCTGCGAAATCGTCCTGCGGGCAGAGGACACGCGTAAGCGCGCGCGCACACACAGGTCGCAACTCGTCGGTGTTGGTGGACGGTGGACGGTAGTAACATTATGATGATCGGCACGATCAGAAAGGCCAAACGGGTTCCGATCGGGTGCGTGCAATTGCAAACGTCGCGCAGCGCGAGGCACCGCGCAACCGGTTCGTGGGGTCAGTAACCGTCATTGTCAGGGTCGCCCGCGTCCGCCGTGTTCGCGTAGTAGGCACATTGCCGGAGCGTGTAATTCGGTCGCCGCCGAATAACAGCATGTACCGCTACGGAACACACACGCGCACACACATACGCACATACGCACGCAATCAATGTCGGTCGACAAAGCGTGCAAAGCTCAAGGCACGGCCGGCACGTCGGGTTCGACTCGAGCGGGCCGAGAGATCGATTCGTGGGAGGAGAAGCCGGAAGACAGTCTCGCTTAGCGCGCGTGAGTAATGACGGATTGAGCAAGCGATATTATTTATAGCCTTCGGCGCCAAGCACTCGGCGCGCGGCCGAAATCGACCGGTACCTGGATTCACACTTTAATGCCATTTCCCAAGCGGGGGTCGCGATCCCCGAGAGAGGCCGAGGATTGCCTCGGCCTGCATGCACAAGCGCGGGGGAGTCGATATGATTGTAAATACACAGCCCCGCGCAACACCTTCAGACGGCTGATTAAAAGGGCGGCGCGGGCGTTCGCCGGGAAGACAAATATACGAGGGCGCGGCGGGTCTGCCCGCCTCGAAAGCAGCGCGATCGCGAAAATAAGATCTAATCGAAAGTGACGTTTTCATCGTGTTGGAAAAGAGAAGTGCTAAAGAGCGAGATATTTGGGCTTGCGGTTCTGTTGGATATTTCTTCGCTAAACTAAACTTGGCGGCTTAGGCTGGCGACTGGGCTGCGCAGTTTCATCGTTTCGTCGACGGCATTGTTGTTGACAGTCATTTTTCAGGGAGTTTAAGCAGAGACGGAAAGGAGCCGATAAGAACCGGCGCAAGATGCAGATTGGAGACTCGCTCCAGCCATGAACGAAAGGAGAAATAAGCATGAGAAACTGAGCTCCCTGAGAATGATCCTTCTCGGTCGTGTCATTCCGAGCGTCTTCGGTGGGAGAACCCTACGTTCCCTTGAAACTTTTCATCAATTTCCAACCAACG